GTGTGTATCAAGAATGGTCCACCACCCTAAGGACATCCAGCCAACTTGACACAACTATGGGAAGCTTTGGAGTCAACATGGGACAGCATCCTTTTGGAATGATTTCGACACCTTGTAGAGTCCATGCCCAGACGAATTGAGGCTGTTCTGAGGGCAAAAAGGGGGGGTACAATGTTCCTAATGGCTGGTATACTCAGTGTATAGTCGGGCGGTTGCGGATGGGTTACTAGCAATTGCGGGCAGGTGCAGGTGAACAAACAGCTGACCTGCGCACCACTAGTGTGTGCCCTCACCCCTAACACAGGAAGCACCACACCGGTCTTCCTCTTTTTAAAGATCACTAGAGGTCTCTCTATGGGGTGATTAGTGACAGCATAGAAACAGAGAGACACCAATAAGACACAAATAATATTAACTACTAACTTCATGAAAGGCAATTAAAATGCAGTTCATAACCAACATTTCAGGCACCAATCCTATAGTGACTGCTTGAGCTCTGTCAATAAATGAGGGTATAAATAAAGTTTTATCATATTGTATTGTTAAATGTCAACAGAGAAGGGGGAAAGACACCAATGCTAACTGCACAAGTATAAAGGAGTTAAACTGCAGTTAAATGGTCATGGCGGTTATCAACCCCTCAGTCCTTTAGCAGTCAGTATCTAAGGAACAACAGACAACAGCAATGCAGCAAATCGATGAAGACTTATATTTTCTCTAATTTACTTGGCATGTTAACCACTCTGGATCCAACCTAAAGAGGAAGAAAGAGACGTCACCATATGGTGCTCAACAACACCAGGCCTAGGTTACGTCACCATATGGTGCTCAACAACACCAGGCCTAGGCTACGTCACCATATGGTGCTCAACAACACCAGGCCTAGGTTACGTCACCATATGGTGCTCAACAACACCAGGCCTAGGCTACGTCACCATATGGTGCTCAACAACACCAGGCCTAGGCTACGTCACCATATGGTGCTCAACAACACCAGGCCTAGGCTACGTCACCATATGGTGCTCAACAACACCAGGCCTAGGTTACGTCACCATATGGTGCTCAACAACACCAGGCCTAGGCTACGTCACCATATGGTGCTCAACAACACCAGGCCTAGGCTACGTCACCATATGGTGCTCAACAACACCAGGCCTAGGCTACGTCACCATATGGTGCTCAACAACACCAGGCCTAGGCTACGTCACCATATGGTGCTCAACAACACCAGGCCTAGGCTACGTCACCATATGGTGCTCAACAACACCAGGCCTAGGCTACGTCACCATATGGTGCTCAACAACACCAGGCCTAGGCTACGTCACCATAAGGTGCTCAACAACACCAGGCCTAGGCTACGTCACCATATGGTGCTCAACAACACCAGGCTTAGGCTACGTCACCATATGGTGCTCAACAACACCAGGCCTAGGGTACGTCACCATATGGTGCTCAACAACACCAGGCCTAGGCTACGTCACCATATGGTGCTCAACAACACCAGGCCTAGGCTATTGAAGCAAAAGCAATACTGACTGGCTAACTCAGTCATAACAAGTATGTAATATATTCAAACTTCTGATTTAATTCAATTTTAGTTTCTATAAATCAATATAATCTACAAAACATGTAAACTACCATTTTAAGGATTGTGTGAGCTGTTGTCTGTCAGTACTGTTGCATCTCCCCCACCACATACATAAGTTACATACTGTCACACAAAGTTACTCACTCCATTAGTGAACCAACCTGTAACGTGGAACACAAACGTTCCCTCTGTGAGGTGCTGCTGTGTGCCTTGTGTTGGTGGTAACAGTAATATTTATAAGGCAACTGAAATGTTGCTGCTGCTATTTCTGCCATGGTACAGGCATGTAGCAGCACGAGCAGAGTGGTGTGTTACATGCCAGCTGGCTTTCTACGCAGCTATCTATTCAGAGGCAGCAGAGGCAGGCTGGGTTGAACTAGGAGATGTGTTACAGTAAAACAGTACTGTTTTCAGTCTAACTCTGGATCACAGACTGTATCTGATACTATGGATAGGAGTGGAGTAGTGAATGGAGGGAAAGTGTCACAGAGCGGGGGGAAGTAGTGAGTGTCACAGAGCGGGGGGAAGTAGTGAGTGTCACAGAGCGGGGGGAAGTAGTGAGTGTCACAGAGCGGGGGGAAGTAGTGAGTGTCACAGAGCGGGGGGAAGTAGTGAGTGTCACAGAGCGGGGGGAAGTAGTGAGTGTCACAGAGCGGGGGGAAGTAGTGAGTGTCACAGAGCGGGGGGAAGTAGTGAGTGTCACAGAGCGGGGGGAAGTAGTGAGTGTCACAGAGCGGGGGGAAGTAGTGAGTGTCACAGAGCGGGGGGAAGTAGTGAGTGTCACAGAGTGGGGGGAAGTAGTGAGTGTCACAGAGCAGGGGGAAGTAGTGAGTGTCATAGAGCGGGGGGAAGTAGTGAGTGTCATAGAGCGGGGGGAAGTAGTGAGTGTCACAGAGCGGGGGGAAGTAGTGAGTGTCATAGAGCGGGGGGAAGTAGTGAGTGTCATAGAGCGTTGTTGACAAAAGTCGTTGGAGGGACCAGGAAGTGTAGCATACAGTACATGACAGATTGGTTTTCAAGTGTTTAGAAATCAATTGAGCTTTGACCTGGATGTAGGGTCATTAACTTCACACACTTAGACTATACTCCAATAAGCATGGGTAGAGTGAGTAAGGATTCACTTAGACCAAGGGTCTCCAACCTTTTCTAGCATGAGAGCTACTTTTAAGAGCTACAAGCTAAAAACATTTTCTTCTAGTTTTCAAATAGGCACATTCTTCCCTTCTCCACTCCCCTGCAACTCTTCCCCAGGTCCTTAGTGTACAAGAGAAAGTAGTGCACTATGTTGTCAACTCTTCCCCAGGTCCTTAGTGTACAAGAGAAAGTAGTGCACTATGTTGTCAACTCTTCCCCAGGTCCTTAGTGTACAAGGGAAAGTAGTGCACTATGTTGTCAACTCTTCCCCAGGTCCTTAGTGTACAAGAGAAAGTAGTGCACTATGTTGTCAACTCTTCCCCAGGTCCTTAGTGTACAAGAGAAAGTAGTGCACTATGTTTTCTGTCAAAATACCTGGTAAAATAATGGTTAATAAATCTGTGATTTTCCCCCCAAATTCTGTTTGATATTTTCCCAAATTATGTTCTCACTTATTTTTAACTATTAAAATTACAATTGTTCATAGAGAAACAAGGAAATTGGATGTTCTGAGTCCATGTCAATTCTTTAGTGTAATTCCCCTTTAATTGCGCATCTGGTGAGTGAGGAATGTGCCTTCTAATGTGCTGGTCTAGCGATAGTACTCTACTGGTGCTGCTCATTTCATGGCAAAGTTTGCAAATAATAGATACGAATTATATACTTCCTCATGATATACTTCTGCCAGGTAAGACTACTTTACAGTTAACATTTAATTGAGAAGGTTTTGGGGAAAATATTTCTGTCAACCCACAAGACTGTTATCACATCAAATGGCTACACACGGAGTGATAAACAAACGCGCGCACCACACAGACAGACAGGAGTAGTATTGCTGGAAATTAATGGGCAGATATTGTGCTAGGTTTGGCTTTTTAAGCCAATAGTTGCTAACCAGCGGTGGGATCATGTCAAAGTTGTTGTGTTGATTAGATAGTAGCTGGGAGTTTACGGTATCTGATAGTTGTGTGATTTGTGTATGACAGTTTGTGGTGGAACACGTGAAAATTGCATGAGCTACTCATGTGGGCTGCGGGCTCGCGATCGACCTGTTGGAGACCCCTGATTTAGACTATACACTGTAAAATAAAAATAAAGATTGGTTGATTCAATTGACAAAAGTTTGTTCCCAGGCTGCCTTAAAATGTAATGTCAAATCCAATTCGGATTTCGTGTGGTTAATTTCATCTAAAGTTACTTCAAACTAGTAAAGTAAGTGGAACATAATGGAAATCAATGGGCTTAAACTGATTGTTTTAATTGTGCTAACAAAGCTACTCAAGTTGTTTTGACACGTTTTTAAGTGGAGAGGACATGTATTTTCAAAAAAACTAAACTATTTATTGTTTCAATTTAACAAAGTTTGTTACCAGGCGCCCTTAAAATGTTAAGTTGTCAACTTCCTATACAGTTGAAACAACTACTTTGAAAATTATACAATTCAGAACTGACTAAGTTTTTGAAATAATATAATAGAGATTTAAGTATGAAACATTATGCTCCCATCTGTCTCTTGCTCTTGTGTGAGCTTTTTCGGCCGTTTCAAAACCGGCAGCACACTCAGTAATTTTAACCCACTAACAGACCACTTTAGCTCAAATGACATTCTCAGTCACGGTTACATGTGGTTGTTTATCGCCGTTTGTTAAATGCACTAACTAAAGTCGCTCTGGATAAAAGTGTCTGACCTAAATGTAAAAATTAACTGTTGCAAATGCTGAGTATTATTCTAATGAGCTCAGCCCCCCAAAAACAAGTTGAAGTAATCTGAACTTTATATTTTCAGTTTACACTACTGTTATTTTGCTTCAGTTGATTTGACTTGAGTAAACACGTAGTTCTTAGCTGATTCAACTTAATTTAATAAGTTAAGACATTGATACATTGTAGTTATCTTAACTTGACATTTTTTGTCAACACAACTGTTATATTGGTTCAATTGATTTGACTTAACACACATCGTTTTTTGCTTACTCAATTTGAATTAATGCCTTTTGACATTTGGAGTGAGTTGAAGTCAACTCAACAAATGTAGCAAATTTAGTTGACTTGGCTAGATAAAACAAGTAATTTTGACTATATATATATATATATATATATATATATATATATATATATACACAGTGTACTCCAATTAGCATGGGTACAGTGAGTAAGGATTTTGTCAGGAACTAGGTGATAAGCTGCAGTAACGTTTCAGGTCAAACTATTGTAGAAAACCTTGTGGAATGATTGATATCTCTTCTTTGCAACAGAGTTTCACCCTGTCGGAGCAACAATGACATCACATGTGAAGCTGAGAAAAGAGAGAGCTGGAGTTGTGGACTATGAAACACAAATCAAAGGTAGGGGAAGTCCTTGTTGTTGTTGTTTACCCTCTAATAATACTTTACTGCACAGCTCATCTTTCATGTTGTTCCCCTTCTCACCGCCCACTGGGTCTACAACATAGTTGTAGTTCAATGCATGTTCATTAATCACATCCCACTGGGCACAAACTGGTTGAATCAATGTTGTTTCAACGTAATTTCTCAACGTATTGTGACGTGGAATCTACATGGAAAATACATCGGATTTGTAAAAAGTAATCAACGTTAACTGTTGTTTTGAGGGTGAAATTTGAACCACAGAATTATGTCATCATGGTAACCAAATATACAGTGCATTTGGAAAGTATTCAGACCCCTTCCCCTTTTCCACATTTTGTTAAGTTACAGCCTTATTCTAAAATGGATAAAAGTATTTTTTCCCCCTCATCAATCTACACACAATACCCCATAATGACAAAGCAAAACGTTTTTTAGAAATGTTTGCAAATGTATATAAGAAATAATTAAAAAATCCTTTATTCACATAAGTATTCAGACCCTTTGCTATGAGACTCGAAATTGAGCTCAGGTGCATTCTGTTTCCATTGATCATCCTTGAGATGTTTCTACAACTTGATTGGAGTCCACCTGTGGTAAATTAAATTGATTGGACATGATAGGACAACGACCCTAAGCACACAGCCAAGACAACACAGGAGTGGCTTCAGGACAAGTCTCTGAATGTCCTTGAGTGGCCCAGCCAAAGCCCGGACCTGAACCTGATCGAACATCTCTGAAGAGACCTGAAAATAGCTGTGCGGCGACGCTCCCCACTCCACCTGACAGAGCTTGAGAGGTTCTGCAGAGAAGAATGGGAGAAACTCCCCAAATACAGGTGTGCCGAGCTTGTAGCGTCATACCCAAGAAGACTCGAGGCTGTAAGCGCTGCCTAAGGTGCTTCAACAAGGTACTGAGAAAAGTGTCTGAATACTTATGTAAATGTCATATTTCAGTTTTTTATTTTTAATACATTTGCAAACATTTCTATAAACTGGTTTTTGCTTTGTCATTATGAGGGGGAAAAAAACAACTTAATCAATTTTATAATAAGGCTGTCACGTAACAAAATGTGGAAAAAGTCAAGGGGTCTGAATACTTTCCGAATGCACTGTATATCGACTATCAGAAAAAAATTATAGGCTGGGCAGCACCCCCTACTGGAGAGTTGATCTATCTACAGCTATTAATTTGGTTTCCATCCAGGATTTTAAAAGTCCAACCCTGCTTAGTTTTAATATTTGTCACTGACTATTATCAATGTGCTATCGTGAGAATTACTTGAGAGATCTCTTAATTATTAATAACTAAATAGATTCACTGTTGCTATCAAAGTCCTAAGGTTAGGTTTAACAGCGCAAATGAAATGTAACCATACTAATTACAGTTTGTCTACAAATTAATAATTGATATGTTGGATTCACGTCTCCATCTCAACCAAAAATCTAAGTTAAAGAATAGGTCTACATCAAATCAAACTGTATTTAAAGTGTATTTTAAGTTTGATTTAATTTAGCCCAACTTAAAATGCACTTTAAATACAGTTTTTGATTTAGTCTATTCTTTCACTTTGATTATTGGTTGAGATGGAGACGTGAATCCAACATACACTATATATACAAAAGTATGTGGACACCCCTTCAAATTAGTGGATTTGGCTATTTCAGCCACACCCGTTGCTGACAGGTGTATAAAATCGAGCACACAGCCATGCGATCTCCATAGACAAACATTAGCAGTAGAATGGCCTTACTGAAGAGCTCAGTGACTTTTAAAGTGGCACCATCATAGGATGCCACCTTCCAACAAGTCAGTTCGTCAAATTTCTGCCCTGCTAGAGCTGCCCCGGTCAACTGTAAGTGCTGTTATTGTGAAGTGGAAACGTCTAGGAGCAACAACGGCTCAGCCGCGAAGTGGTAGGCCACACAAACTCACAGAACGGGACCGCTGAGTGCTGAAGCGCGTAGCACGTACAGTGAGGGGAAAAAAGTATTTGATCCCCTGCTGATTTTGTACGTTTGCCCACTGACAAAGACATGATCAGTCTATAATTTTAATGGTAGGTTTATTTGAACAGTGAGAGACAGAATAACAATAAAAAAAATCAGAAATGCACGTCAAAAATGTTATAAATTGATTTGCATTTTAATGAGGGAAATAAGTATTTGACCCCTCTGCAAAACATGACATAGTAGTTGGTGGCAAAACCCTTGTTGGCAATCAGAGTTCAGACGTTTCTTGTAGTTGGCCACCAGGTTTGCACACATCTCAGGAGGGATTTTGTCCCACTCCTCTTTGCAGATCTTCTCCAAGTCATTAAGGTTTCGAGCCACTCCTTTGTTGCCTTGGCCGTGTGTTTTGGGTCATTGTCATGCTGGAATACCCATCCACAACCCATTTTCAATGCCCTGGCTGAGGGAAGGAGGTTCTCACCCAAGATTTGATGGTACATGGCCCCGTCCATCGTCCCTTTGATGCGGTGAAGTTGTCCTGTCCCCTTAGCAGAAAAACACCCCCAAAGCATAATGTTTCCACCTCCATGTTTGATGGTGTTCTTGGGGTCATAGGCAGCATTCCTCCTCCTCCAAACACGGCGAGTTGAGTTGATGCCAAAGAGCTCGATTTTGGTCTCATCTGACCACAACACTTTAACCCAGTTCTCCTCTGAATCGTTCAGATGTTCATTGGCAAACTTCAGACGGGCCTGTATATGTGCTTTCTTGAGCAGGGGGACCTTGCGGGCGCTGCAGGATTTCAGTCCTTCATGGCGTAGTGTGTTACCAATTGTTTTCTTGGTGACTATGGTCCCAGCTGCCTTGAGATCATTGACAAGATCCTCCCGTGTAGTTCTGGGCTGATTCCTCACCGTTCTTTTGATCATTGCAACTCCACGAGGTGAGATCTTGCATGGAGCCCCAGGCAGAGGGAGATTGACAGTTATTTTGTGTTTCTTCCATTTGCGAATAATCGCACCAACTGTTGTCACCTTCTCACCAAGCTGCTTGGCGATGGTCTTGTAGCCCATTCCAGCCTTGTGTAGGTCTACAATCTTGACCCTGACATCCTTGGAGAGCTCTTTGGTCTTGGCCCCTTAGTTCCAGTGAAGGGAAATCTTAACTACAGCATACAATGACATTCTAGATGATTCTGTGCTTCCAACTTTGTAGCATTGTCAACCAAACAAATTCAATATTACTTTTGTAATACAGTAATAAATAGCATCTTTCACTGAGTGTACAAAACATTAAGAACACCTGCTCTTTTCATGACAGACTGACCTTGTAAATCCAGGTGAAAGCTGTGATCCGTTATTGATGTCACCTGTTAAATCCACTTCAATGTGCAGCTGTAGGAGAGAAGACAGGTTAAAGAAGGATTATTAAGCAATGAGACAATTAAAACATGGATTGTGTATGTGTGCCATTCAGAGGGTGAATGGGCAAGACAAAATACACTGCTCAAAAAGGGAACACTTAAACAACACAATGTAACTCCAAGTCAATCACACTTCTGTGAAATCAAACTGTCCACTTAGGAAGCAACACTGATTGACAATAAATGTCACATGCTGTTGTGCAAATGGAATAGACAACAGGTGGAAATTATAGGCAATTAGCAAGACACCCCCAATAAAGGACTGGTTCTGCAGGTGGTGACCACAGACCACTTCTCAGTTCCTATGCTTCCTGGTTGATGTTTTGGTCACTTTTGAATGCTGGCGGTGCTTTCACTCTAGTGGTAGCATGAGACGGAGTCTACAACCCACACAAGTGGCTCAGGTAGTGCAGCTCATCCAGGATGGCACATCAATGCCAGCTGTGGCAAGAAGGTTTGCTGTGTCTGTCAGCGTAGTGTCCAGAGCATGAAGGCGCTACCAGGAGACAGGCCAGTACATCAGGAGACGTGGAGGAGGCCGTAGGAGGGCAACAACCCAGCAGCAGGACTGCTACCTCCGCCTTTGTGCAAGGAGGAGCACTGCCAGAGCCTTGCAAAATGACCTCCAGCAGGCCACAAATGTGCATGTGTCTGCTCAAACGGTCAGAAACAGACTCCATGAGGGTGGTATGAGGGCCCGACGTCCACAGGTGGGGGTTGTGCTTACAGCCCAACACCGTGCAGGACGTTTGGCATTTGCCAGAGAACACCAAGATTGGCAAATTCGCCACTGGCGCCCTGTGCTCTTCACAGATGAAAGCAGGTTCACACTGAGCACGTGACAGACGTGACAGAGTCTGGAGACGCCGTGGAGAACGTTCTGCTGCCTGCAACATCCTCCAGCATGACCGGTTTGGCGGTGGGTCAGTCATGGTGTGGGGTGGCATTTCTTTGGGGGGCCGCACAGCCCTCCATGTGCTCGCCAGAGGTAGCCTGACTGCCATTAGGTACCGAGATGAGATCCTCAGAGCCCTTGTGAGACCATATGCTGGTGCGGTTGGCCCTGGGTTCCTCCTAATGCAAGACAATGCTAGACCTCATGTGGCTGGAGTGTGTCAGCAGTTCCTGCAAGAGGAAGGCATTGATGCTATGGACCGCCCGTTCCCCAGACCTGAATCCAATTGAGCACATCTGGGACATCATGTCTCGCTCCATCCACCAACGCCACGTTGCACCACAGACTGTCCAGGAGTTGGCGGATGCTTTAGTCCAGGTCTGGGAGGAGATCCCTCAGGAGACCATCCGCCACCTCATCAGGAGCATGCCCAGGCGTTGTAGGGAGGTCATACAGGCACGTGGAGGCCACACACACTACTGAGCCTCATTTTGACTTGTTTTAAGGACATTACATCAAAGTTGGATCAGCCTGTAGTGTGGTTTTCCACTTTAATTTTGAGGGTGACTCCAAATCCAGACCTCCATGGGTTGATCAATTTGATTTCCATTGATAATTTTTGTGTGATTTTTGTTGTCAGCACATTCAACTATGTAAAGAAACAAGTATTTAATAAGATTATTTCATTCATTCAGATCTAGGATGTGTTATTTTAGTGTTCCCTTTTATTTTTTTGAGCAGTGTATTTAAGTGCCTTTGAACGGGGTATAGTAGTAGGTGCCAGGCACACTGGTTTGAGTGTGTCAAGAACTGCAACGCTGCTGGGTTTTTCATGCTCAACAGTTTCTTGTGTTTATCAAGAATGGTCCACCACCCAAAGGGTATCCAGCCAACTTGACACAACTATGGGAAGCTTTGGAGTCAACATGGGACAGCATCCTTTTGGAATGCTTTCGACACCTTGTAGAGTCCATGCCCTGTTTGCCCTCAGGCTTTTTTGAGGGCAAAAAGGGTGCAACTCAATATTAGTAAGGTGTTCCTAATGTTTTGTACACTCAGTGTATGTATATCCAAGAAGAAACGCTGGACTGTTCTGGAGTGGCCAGCGAAGAGTCCAGATCTGAACCACATCCAAAACCTATGACAAGATCTGAAAACAAGTAAAATACAAAAAGACCCGCACACTGTTAAAGCTCCCAATTCACCGCTCTATTGACAACGTTTAGATCCTAAACGGATCTTCATCTGGTCAAACAAAAAAAGATCTGAAAACAGCAGGTGGTGGAGGGCACCTCTCAAACATTGAATAATTAGAGCGGTTTGCTGCTGTAGAGTGGGCCAAATTGCCAGTAGAAAGGTGTAGCCAGGTCATTGATGGCTACAAGAAGAGTTTGTCTGCAGTTATCTTGGCCAAAGGCTGTGCAAGGAAGTAATAGCTCCTGGGTGCCAATAATTTTGTCCATGCCATTTGTCTTTATTTTCTAAATTACTAATAAAATTGGTTCTGCAATGTTGAAAATCCAATAACGAGGTGATTTCAACTTATTTTAGAAGAAATAGGTAATGATTTAAGAAGAAGTGCAAGGGTGGCAATATATTTGGCTGCAACTGTATACATCTCTCTCCTTACCAATTTTTTTCTCCCTCTCTCTCTCTCTCTCTCTCCCTCTCTCTCTCCCTCCCTCTCTCTCTCTTTCTTTCCCTCTCTTTCTCTCTCTTCCCCTCCCTCTCTCTCTCCCCCCTCTCTCTCTTCCCCCCTCTCTCTCTCTCTCTTCCCCCTCTCTCTCTCTCTCTCTTCCCCCCTCTCTCTCTCTCTCTCTTCCCCCTCTCTCTCTCTCTCTCTCCCCTCTCTCTCTCTCTCTCTCTCTTCCCCCTCTCTCTCTCTCTCTCTCTCTTCCCCCTCTCTCTCCCCTCTCTCTCTCGCTCTCTCTTCCCACTCTCTCTTCCCCCTCTCTCGCTCTCTCTTTCTTTCTCTCTCTCTCCCCTTTTTCTCTCTCTCTCCCCCCCTCCCACCCCCAGAGGTGCGTTGTCAGTTGGTGGACCAGTTGAAGGTGTTGGATCTGCAGTTGGAGCAGAAATCTCAGCAGCTTCAGGACCTCACAGACTACCTGCGTAGACGCAGTGAGATAGAAGGGGAGTACGCACGCTCGCTGGACAAACTGGCTGAGAGGTTTACCTCCAAAATCAAAAGGTAAGTTGCTCACAGATCTGTTTGTGCTCTTTCTGTTACTGTTAGTCCTGTGGTCATTGAGGTGGTATTTCCCATTCTAGTATTTTCCATTCTAGTAACTCAATTTCTATGGTTAAAACATGTCCCTTCACTGTGCCTCTATCTTTCAGGAAGGAGCCTTGCAGTGGTCAGTCTGTGGCCCAGTGTTGGCTGGTCCTGCTGGCTCAGACCAGACAGGAGAGCAAAGACCACAGTGGTGTGAGTGACAGCTGTAGCACCACCCTCACCCAGCCCCTCACACACTGTCTGGAGATCACTCAGCGCATGGCCAAGAGGGTACTGTTCTATCTTCATTAGATTCATTTAGCCAGGATAGTCCACTCAGTTACACTTGCCACTGTTTTCCAGGGAGTCCTGGGGAATCCTGTCTGTCTGTCTATCTGTCTCTGTTCTATCTAACTTATTGGTTGGTCTCTGTTTTTCCAGACTAAAGATGTCTGTAGTCAGTTACAGGATGGGTTGTTGAAGGTCACCACAGAGCTACAGACAGTAAGTCCGACATGATTGACAAGTTCAAGAAACAGACACCATTCTAGAGGGGGGGGGAATACAGTGGGATGTAAAATAGTCGTCTTGGTGTTCATGATGTGGCGTGTTGATGGATGTTCTCTCTCTCTGTGTGTGTGTCTACAGGCGTGGCGTACCTACTACCAGTACCACTCAGAGTATGAGTCTGCAGAGGGAAAGCTGAAGGAAGCAGAGAAACAGAAGCAAGGAGCTTCTAAAAAGATTGAGAAAGTAAACTCTTCTCTGAAAAACACTCCTCACATCCCTTTTTATAGTCTAAATGAGTTCAAGTATGGAGATCTGTGTGTGTGTGGATGCGTGTGTTTGAGTGTCTGTGTGTGTGTATATATGTGTACATGTGTTTTAATGTATGTAGCCTACCTAATTCCTATATGTTTACAGAGACAGTGTAAAGTGCAGGAGATCCAGCTGAAGTGCACTAAGGCTCGTAATGACTACCTTCTCAACCTGGCTGCAGCCAACACTTCCATGAACAAGTACTATCTTCAAGACCTCTCCTCACTCATGGACGTAAGTGCTGCTTCACAGCCACTGACTGTGTGTCAACTGTGTCTCTGTCTGTGGAAGTGTCTAACACAGTCACCATTGTACATTGTCTATTGTCTTAATAACATTTTACTGCAGTGGTCTAAATCATGGTCACAGAGAGTGTTTCTTAAACAAAAGTATACACCTCACACACATGGTTAGGGGCTTTTAAAAAATGAAGACACCTGTACCATATCAGATATAGAGTTGAAATGTATTCAATTGTCAGTTTGCATCCCAATATTACACTTTATATACATCACAGAAGACTGAAATATACTAAAACTTTTTGACGTAGAAACACTGGATTTTCTGAGTACATAATTATTTATTTTTTAAAATTAATTATGAAAAATAATTATAACGTTCCACCCATGACGCCACCAGAGGGCGCTTTGGTCATTCGACTGCGTAAATTGTCTGTCTTAACCTGTGTAACTGAATTTAACATTGGTACAATAAGGAAGACACTTAAAACTATAGCCAAACATTTAATTACAGGGAACTCACAACTATACACCGTAACGGAAAACTGTAAATTATACAGTAATTTGGGGTATTATCAACAGTAAAATACTCTGAAAAGTTTGACTGCAGCATACTGTAAATTATGGTGCATTGTTGGAAAATGTTGTGGTCGGAGAAATAATTGCTGTATTTAGAATGGTACTGTAATTCCACCCCACAGAATACAGTACCGTACTGTATCTTTAGAGAGCCAAAAACCTTGTTTGCACCCGTGAGTCAGAATGCTGTACCAATTTAACTCCTATGTGGTTATAGTGCCCCATCAATTTAAAATGTATAGGGGGCAGATTGGAATGGCAGTAAGTCTTAAACCTAATGGTTGAGCATTTTGCCATGTTCTTTTGGTCTGTTTTGCACTGTAGTCGCTTCCTGTGTGGAAGCCTTTGTTAAGGCCTCTTGAAGTGAATGTGATATATAACACCAAATATTCATTAATATGCTGTTAAGCCAACCTTTTTGCACCAATCCCTTGTAATTACAGTAAAATACTGTGAAATACAAACTCCTCCCCTCAATGAATTTTATTCATGCATCCATTCATCCACTCATTAATTCCGATTACGGTAACATTAACTATTTTACAATATTGTACTGTCATTATTACACAGTACTTGCTTTGATACTGTATTTATATTACAGTAGGTCTACCGTAATATGAAATACAGCCTTTTACTTGCCACTGAGCTGCCTGTAAGTTACTGTCAAATTCACGGCAACATTACATTTTACATTTTAGTCATTTAGCAGAAGCTCTTATCCAGAGCGACTTACAGGAGCAATTAGGGTTAAGTGCCTTGCTCAAGGGCACATTGACAGATTTTTCACCTAGTCGGCTCGGGGATTCAAACCAGTGACCTTTACAGTGTACACATAACATGGTTTGAATCTAACCAATACAGTACAAAACCTGCAACATAACAGATAGGCTGATGCCAGTTCCATCTCTCCCTCAGTGTTCAGATGTGGGCTACCACCTGTCTCTGTCCCGTGTGCTGCGGTCCTACCTGTCCAGCCGCTCCCTGGCCCAGCAGAACCTGAGTGGAGGGCTGCAGCAGCTCCACACTGTTGTGTCTGGACTGGACCAGATTCAGGACAGAGACAACCTGCTACAGACTCACACCAACACCTTCTGTCTGCCCCTCCGCTTCCACTACCAGCCACACGAGGGAGACCAGGTAGACTGGGTGGGGTGGAGCAGTGTCATGTGGGGTGGGGAGTATCTGTGTGTGTGTGTGTGTGCTTTTATTTTCTGTGACTATGTTTTGAATGTGTGGGCTGTGTATCTGGATGTCATGTGTCTTTGCTCCCATCTGTCTGATATCACCTGATTCTTCCCTGTTAGGTGTGTGAGGTGAGTGCGGAACAGGAGATTAGGTGTGAGATGGAGACCAGGTTACAACAGTTGCAGTCAAAACTCACCGGGTTCACTCAGGAAACGGAGGAGGTACAGTCCAGTCCGATCGATCAATCAATCAAATTTAGAGACTTTTTAAATACTTTTTTCATCAACAGTTGTCACTAAATGCTTTACAGTAACCTGGCCTAGACCCACCCAAAAGCCTCAGATCGACCTTTTAGTGGATAGTGGATGGATTCCATTATGTTCACCTTGAATTCATTTTTATATTGGATCAAAATGGAATTAAATGATGTTGACACTCCATCCTCCCAGGCAGGTAAAACGCTCCAGGCGGCCCGCTCTGCCCTGATGGAAGGTATCAGTGATGATGACCTAGATCCTCCACCCTCCAACAGCCAGACCCAGGGCTCTCTGCTCCATCTCCAGTCCCCGTCTCAGAGCCAAGGTCAGGGGGGAAGCAGTGAGAGCCTGGCCAGCAGCAGTAGCAGACCCAGTCTGGCCAGACGGAGAGCCAACCTGCAGGAGACTGAGGCACTCTACTATGCTGTGAGTCATTATTACACTGACCTACACATAAGGGTCAGGCCAGAAGTAGTGCACTATAATAGGGGTGGTTATTGTAATGATTGTGGTGATGGTGGTCATCTTAATGATGAAAATGAAATACAAGGAGATGATGGGGGTGATGATGATGATGACAATTTTGAATTGTGTTTGATATCTTCCCTCAGAAATTGAAGGAGTATCTCTGTAAAAGCTCTCTGATATCCAAACTACAGGCGAAACATGATCTGCTTAAAGTGGCAGTTGAGAAAGGTACAGCACTAACTACTTCTGTAATATACACAACTGTTCAACATGTCTGTAGTATAGCCCCATCAGGGCCGGAACCAGGTTTGGAGTTTTAGTGAGGTCCGGAACGGGGTAGTTGTGCACTCATTCTCCGAGAGTCGTTTTTTGTTTGTTTGGGAGATGTCTGTAGACATGGCAGGCGTCGCGGGATGGTTTTAAAATGGCCTTTTTTCCCGGCATCTTGCAAAAACTCTTGTTGCCTACTTGAGCCCGGAGCCGACTCAGAACTGGGCTAGTTCGTTTCATGTCTCAGGCCCTCAGCCTGTACCGCGAGAGGGCGGAGTTAGCCGTTTGAGAGGGGGGTGAATGTGCTGCTAAAAAGACAAATCCAGGGAACGCAGGCGAACATAAAGAACAAACCACTTCACAGAGGCCGGCACGATTAGAACTCAGTCAGATCAAGAATAAAGCGTTCTGAGCTTTGATCAACGCTGGGAGCAATATTTAGATGTTGACCCGTAATTGATTTTCTCTATTGTGTACAAAATATATAGTTGTATGATTATTAGAAACAATTATGGAGGTTTGGACATCTGTGTCCTCATATGTAGTTACGCCCCTGAGCCCCATACACAGTACACTCATTGTTGTTACCTCATTTCCCAAGTGTCATTGTGGCCAATAATTTTCTAAAATATAGATGTTATCTTAATCATTGCTTTTTCTTCCCTTCCTAGCTGAAGCAACCACTGGTCATCAGCCCAGGTAGATTTACATTCCTCTGTAAGGCATTTATAACTGCCTCATAAGAGTAACATAAAAGTTTAGTGCACTGTGCTATACTCAACTGACTAGCGGTGTCTCCACCACATCCAGGAAGTCAGTGCGTGTGAGAAGCAAGAGTCAACCCAGCGTCCAGTTCACCCACAAACTCTTCACCGGAGACATGCTCTCCTTCATACAGGCATCAGGACAGGAGATACCAGTTGTGGTGGAAAGCTGCATTCGCTTCATCAACCTTAACGGTGAGCCATTGAAACAGCCCAGCAGAACATACCTTATCATCATATTACAAACTACAAATTTACTGTGTATTTGTCAATGTCTTCATGTCTGTCTGTCAATCCATCCCATACTGTAGGTCTCCACCATGAGGGTATCTTCAGAGTACCAGGGTCTCAGGGGAAGGTCAACAGTCTGAGAGATGCCTTTGAGCGAGGTAGGCCTGTCTGCTGTCCATGTCTGCTGACCCTGTCTCCTGTCTGCTGTCCCTGTCTGCTGTCCCTGTCTCCTGTCTCCTGTCTGCTGTCCCTGTCTCCTGTCTGCTGTCCCTGTCTCCTGTCTGCTGTCCCTGTCTTCTGTCTCCTGCCTGCTGTCCCTGCCTCCTGTCTCCTGTTCCCTGTCTGATGTCCCTGTCTGATGTCCCTGTCTGCTGTCCCTGTCTCCTGTCTCCTGTTCCCTGTCTGATGTCCCTGTCTGATGTCCCTGTCTGATGTCCCTGTCTGATGTCCCTGTCTGATGTCCCTGTCTGCTGTCCCTGTCTGCTGTCCCTGTCTTCTGTCTCCTGTCTGCTGTCTCCTGCCTGCTGTCCCTGTCTCATGTCGCCTGTCTCATGTCGCCTGTCTCATGTCGCCTGTCTCATGCCGCCTGTCTCATGCTGTCTGCTGTCATCTGTCTCCTGTCCCTGTCCCTGCTTTCTGTCCCTGCTTTCTGTCCCTGCCTCCTGTCGCCTGCCTCATGTCGCCTGCCTCATGTCGCCTGCCTCCTGTCGCCTGTCTCATGTCTCATGTCGCCTGCCTCCTGTCGCCTGTCTCATGTCTCATGTCGCCTGTCTCATGTCTCATGTCGCCTGTCTCATGTCGCTTGTCTCCTCTTGCCTCCTGTCTCTTGCCGCCTGTCTCTTGCCGCCTCTCATGTCGCCTGTCTCATGTCGCCTGTCTGCTGTCATCTGTCTCCTGTCTGCTGTCCCTGCCTCCTGTCTCTGCCTCCTGTCTGCTGTCCCTGCCTCCTGTCTGCTGTCCCTGTCTCCTGTAAAGTGGTTATCCCACTGGCTATAAGGTGAATGCACCAATTTGTAAGTCGCTCTGGATAAGAGCGTCTGCTAAATGACATAAATGTAAAAAAAAAAAAAAATCCTGTCCCGCTGTCTCCTGTCCCGCTGTCTCCTGTCCCGCTGTCTCCTGTCCCGCTGTCTCCTGTCCCGCTGTCTCCTGTCCCGCTGTCTCCTGTCCCGCTGTCTCTTGTCCCGCTGTCTCTTGTCCCGCTGTCTCCTGTCCCGCTGTCTCCTGTCCCGCTGTCTCCTGTCCCGCTGTCTCCTGTCCCGCTGTCTCTTGTCCCGCTGTCTCTTGTCCCGCTGTCTCTTGTCCCGCTGTCTCCTGTCTGCTGTCTCCTGCTCTAGCTTCATCTAGTGCAGACCTGGGTTCAACATGTCGCTCTTCTCTTTCAAATACTTCATTATGTCATATTGTGTACATATTCTACCACCACCAGTTATTACTATGCATAGTACTTTTTTTATCACATACTTATATTTTTGATTTGACGTTTGATTATTATTGATATTGATATTAATACTGAACTGTTGAGGAGAGCTTGCAAGTAAGCATTTCTCTGCACCATTTATACCTGCTGTATCGTGTGTATGGGACAAATAAACTTTGATTTGATTTAGCTGGCCTGGCACAATGGAACCAATGTTATAGTCCCAAAAGTGCAAACCCAGGCAGGCTCAATTGAACACACAAAGTATTTGAAAGAAAACAAATCCAGTACTATTTGAACCCAGGTCTGGTGTCTATCTAGTGAAGCCATAGTCCTGTGCAGTAGTGTTGATCATTAATAATGGTGGGCAGTATGCCCTGGTCGTTCCCTGTAGGAGAGGACCCTGTAGCAGACAGCAGGTGTGACTTGGACTCAGTAGCAGGAGTACTGAAACTCTACTTTAGAACCCTGGCGAACCCTCTGTTTCCTCAAGACAGTACCGCTCAGCTCCTGGAGTACGCACGTAAGTGTGTGTGTGTATGTACAGTGGGGAGAACAAGTATTTGATACACTGCCGATTTTGCAGGTTTTCCTACTTACAAAGCATGTAGAGGTCTGTAATTTTTTATCATAGGTACACTTCAACTGTGAGAGATGGAATCTAAAACAAAAATCCAGAAAATCACATTGTATGATTTTTAAGTAATTAATTTGCATTTTATTGCATGACATAAATATTTGATACATCAGAAAAGCAGAACTTAATATTTGGTACAGAAACCTTTGTTTGCAATTACAGAGATCATACGTTTCCTGTAGGTCTTGACCAGGTTTGCACACACTGCAGCAGGGATTTTGGCCCACTCCTCCACACAGACCTTCTCCAGATCCTTCAGGTTTCGGGGCTGTCGCTGGGCAATACGGACTTTCAGCTCCCTCCAAAGATTTTCTATTGGGTTCAGGTCTGGAGACTACCTAGGCCACTCCAGGACCTTGAGATGCTTCTTACGGAGCCACTCCTTAGTTGCCCTGGCTGTGTGTTTCGGGTCGTTGTCATGCTGGAAGACCCAGCCACGACCCTTCTTCAATGCTCTTACTGAGGGAAGGAGGTTGTTGGCCAAGATCTCGCGATACATGGCCCCATCCATCCTCCCCTCAATATGGTGCAGTCGTCCTGTCCCCTTTGCAGAAAAGCATCCCCAAAGAATGATGTTTTCCCCTCCATGCTTCACGGTTGGGATGGTGTTCTTGGGGTTGTACTCATCCTTCTTCTTCCTCCAAACACGGCGAGTGGAGTTTAGACCAAAAAGCTCTATTTTTGTCTCATCAGACCACATGACCTTCTCCCATTCCTCCTCTGGATCATCCAGATGGTCATTGTCAAACTTCAGACGGGCCTGGACATGCGCTGGCTTGAGCAGGGGGACCTTGCGTGCGCTGCAGGATTTTAATCCATGACGGCGTAGTGTGTTACTAATGGTTTTCTTTGCGACTGTGGTCCCAGCTCTCTTCAGGTCATTGACCAGGTCCTGCCTTGTAGTTCTGGGCTGATCCCTCACCTTCCTCATGATCATTGATGCCCCACGAGGTGAGATCTTGCATGGAGCCCCAGACCGAGGGTGATTGACCGTCATCTTGAACTTCTTCCATTTTCTAATAATTGCGCCAACAGTTGTTGCCTTCTCACCAAGCTGCTTGCCTATTGTCCTGTAGCCCATCCCAGCCTTGTGCAGGTCTACAATTTTATCCCTGATGTCCTTACACAGCTCTCTGGTCTTGGCCATTGTGGAGAGGTTGGAGTCTGTTTGATTGAGTGTGTGGACAGGTATCTTTTATATAGGTAACGAGTTCAAACAGGTGCAGTTAATACAGGTAATGAGTGGAGAACAGGAGGGCTTCTTAAAGAAAAACTAACAGGTCTGTGAGAGCCGGAATTTTTACTGGTTGGTAGGTGATCAAATACTTATGTCATGCAATAAAATGCAAATTAATTACTTAAAAATCATACAATGTGATTTTCTGGATTTTTGTTTTAGATTCCGTCTCTCACAGTTGAAGTGTACCTATGATAAAAACTACAGACCTCTATATGCTTTGTAAGTAGGAAAACCTGCAAATTCGGCAGTGTATCAAATACTTGTTCTCCCCACTGTATGTGTATATTGTGGAGGTTTTCATATGCTTTTCCTGTTAATCTCTCTCTTCCTTGTACCCAACCCTTCCAGAGATTGACAACGAGACAGAGAGAGCAGTTAAACTCAAATCAGTCATCTCCTCCTATCCTCCACCTGTCATCATCGTCATGAGATACCTCTTTGCATTCCTCCATCAGTGAGTATCTCTGCTCAAACACTTTGGTTTAGGCACATATACTGTACTGTATGTCCAAGTCAAGTGATTTGTCCATGCCGTGTGTGTGTGTGTGTGTGAGAGAGAGAGAGACTAACTTTGTTGTTCTTTTTGCCCTCTTCTTTCTTTCTCTCTCTCGCTCTCCCCCTGCGCCATCTCCCCACAGTGTGTCTCAGTACAGCGATGAGAACATGATGCAGCCCTATAATCTGGCTGTGTGCTTCGGCCCTAGTCTGTTACGAGGGGCGCAGGATGATGATGTCGTTACCCTGCAGCCTCAGATCAACTCCCTGGTGAAGAGCATCATCTTGCAGCATGAGAGCATCTTCCCCAGCCCGGCCGAGCTACAGGGACCCGTGTATGAGAAATGCATGACGCTGGAGCAAGACGATTGGTGAGAGAAAACACATGGATAGATGGACCGCGACCTAGACAAACACGCACACACACACAATGGTGATCGCCTGTGTTTATTTTGCAGTGAGGAGGGAGAAGGGGATTCAGAACATCACAGTAAAGAAGGTAAAAGGAGGACAGCTGTTATCTTTATCTTTGTGTGTTTTGAGAATCAGTCATTTGACACTGAGATATTGTTTGTCTCATCTATGCTGTATGAGAAACATTTCTCAACTATAGATGGAAACTAGCCAGCTGGCTAAATCTGACACATTTACAGAAATGTTGATTGATGTGCGTTGTCCCATTAATAACTCTTGATCCAGAGTCCGAGTGGAAGGGAGAGCGATCTCAAGCCAACAGCAGCTGCAGTTCAAGACAGCCCCCATTAGGGGGCACTGTGACCCCAGCAGGAAAGTTCACTTTACAGTTCCCAATGACCCCACAGGGATGGCCCCTCTCCCCTGGATACATAAGCAAAGAGTAAGTACCATCAAAGATACTTCGGTAACACTTCATTTTAAAGGGTCCTTATTACATAAGTAATTACACTGTAACAAGTATTGTAATTCATTGTAATAATTCATAGTTACCCTGTACTAACAACATGTAACTGGTGGTAATTGCAGTCGGTACCAGAGGTGTAACAACGAATGCTTGTTACCATGCTTGTTGCAAATGTTCAAGTTTCCGATAGCATCCCAACGCACCATTTTTCAGCTAACCATGTTATAAGTGGTAGCCAATTGAAAACCAACCACTCTGCTATAAAGGGGTTTGGAGTCTGATTCCCAGGTCCAGCTTCTGTTTGAAATGCATGGAAGGTTTTGATCGCTATGGCAAAAACAGGGGGTTTACATCCAAAATTAGTGATTAAATCATTTAATGGTGCATTTGACCTAATATAGCAACAGTAGCAAAGGAGGACAGGGCTTGACCATGGGTGAATTACTTTATTAAGCATCAATCAAACAGCTTTAACACATTAATAAACAGTTATGGCAATAATTGGGAGATAGTCATTCAGTGCTTGCCAAATTGTGAGTCTATTAAGCTTGGTTGAATAATGGTTTATAAATTCACTTAAAATGGTCATAAGACAACCTCTTATTTCATAATGTAACCTTGCAAGGTTTTTTACGGTTGAAGATCATTCTCACTTTTAGATGGGATGCATTGGTGCACTTATTTATTTATCCCAGGAATTAAGGCATCACATCAAGATCTGCCCATCTGCACAACGTGCTCGAAATAACGACCTGAAACTCATAGTGACAGTGCACAAAGAACCCGGATCAAGAAGGTTATGTGCAAAATCAAGACATAAGAGATTGCCGCAAAAGAAACAAAGTGTTGTAGAGGAGACAAAAACATCCACACAGGAGAGAGAAGGTAGGTTTTCAATGCAATTTGTTTTGCTGTTTGGATACAGAAATTGTGCTGGACGATTTAGCATAGGTAGTTAGCTAGTTAGCTAGCATTTGCCAGCTAGCTAGCCTATTGTTAGCTAGCAAGCTAACAATAATTTGCTAGCTGGCAAACGTTAGCTGCCATTTTTGGTAGGCCTATCAACTAGGCTGGCTGGCTAGCTAGCTAGCTAACTTAGTTAACATACAGAATAGACTTTTCATGCCTTGACAGATAAAGTTATCTAGCTAGCAAGCTAGCTGGGCTCGATGGTCTTATCTTCCCTGAACCTTGTTTTCAGGGTATTCGTACGGTACTCAAGGAAAGGGTATTACGTGAGACACACCCGGCATATTAACATTAGTTACTTGTGTCAACACAGCTATTAGTAGCTAATTTTCAATGTAAACACTAGCTAGCTAGCTTATTAGTGTTAGCAATCACCAGGATAACGCTAGCTGGATAACACAACAACTAGGTAGCTACAGTGGCTTGCGAAAGTATTCACCCCCCTTGGCATTTTTCCTATTTTGTTGCCGTACAACCTGGAATTAAAATTGATTTTTGGGGGGTTTGTATCATTCGATTTACACAACATGCCTACCACTTTGATGATGCAAATGTTTTTAAAATTGTGAAACAAACAAAAAATAAGACAAAAAACAGAACTTGAGCGTGCATAACTATTCACCCCCCCCAAAGTCAATACTTTGTAGAGCCACCTTTTGCAGCAATTACAGCTGCAAGTCTCTTGGGGTATGTCTCTATAAGCTTGGCACATCTAGCCACTGAGATTCTTTCCTCATTCTTCAAGGCAAAACTGCTCCAGCTCCTTCAAGTTGGATGGGTTCCACTGGTGTACAGCAATCTTTAAGTCATACCACAGATTCTCAATTGGATTGAGGTCTGGGCTTTGACTAGGCCATTCCAAGACATTTAAATGTTTCCCCGTAAACCACTCAAGTTGCTTTAGCAGTATGCTTAGGGTCATTGTCCTGCTGGAAGGTGAACCTCCGTCCCAGTCTCAAATCTCTGGAAGACTGAAACAGGTTTCCCTCAAGAATTTCCCTGTATTTAGCGCCATCCATCATTCCTTCAATTCTGACCAGTTTCCCAGTCACCCTGATGAAAAACATCCCCACAGCATGATGCTGCCACCACCATGCTTCATTGTGGGGATGGTGTTCTCGGGGTGATGAGAGGTGTTGGGTTTGCGCCAGACATAGCGTTTTCCTTGATGGCCAAAAAAGCTCAATTTTAGTCTCATCTGACCAGAGTACCTTCTTCCATATGTTTGGGGAGTCTCCCACATTCCTTTTGGCGAACACCAAATGTGTTTGCTTATTTTTTTCTTTAAGCAATGGCTTTTTTCTGGCCACTCTTCTGTAAAGCCCAGCTCTGTGGAGTGTACGGCTTAAAGTGGTCCTATGGACAGATACTCCAATCTCCGCTGTGGAGCTTTGCAGCTCCTTCAGGGTTATCTTTGGTCTCTTTGTTGCCTCTCTGATTAATGCCCTCCTTGCCTGGTCCATGAGTTTTGGTGGGTGGCCCTCTCTTGGCAGGTTTGTTGTGGTGCCATATTCTTTCCATTTTTTAATAATGGATTTAATGGTGCTCCGTGGGATGTTCAAAGTTTCTGATATTTTTTTATAACCCAACCCTGATCTGTACTTCTCCACAACTTTGTCCCTGATCTGTTTGGAGAGCTCCTTGGTCTTCATGTTGCCGCTTGCTTGGTGGTGCCCCTTGCTTAGTTGTGTTGCAGACTCTGGGGCCTTTCAGAACATATATGTGTGTGTGTGTGTGTGTGTGTGTGTGTGTGTGTGTGTGTGTGTGTGTGTGTGTGTGTGTGTGTGTGTGTGTGTGTGTATATATGTATGTATATATATATATATATATATATATATATATATATATATATATATATATATATATATATATATATATAATATATATATACTGAGATCATGTGACACTTAGATTGCACACATGTGGACTTTATGTAACTAATTATGTGACTTCTGAAGGTAATTGGTTGCACCAGATCTTATTTAGGGGCTTCATAGCAAAGGGGGTGAATACATATGCACGCACCACTTTTCCGTTATTAATTTTTTAGAATTTTTTTAAACAAGTAATTTTTTTCACTAAACCAATTTGGACTATTTTGTGTATGTCCATTACATTAAATCCAAATAAAAATCCACTTAAATTACAGGTTGTAATGCAACAAAATAGTACAAATTCCAAGGGGGATGAATACTTTTGCAAGGCACTGTATGCCTACCTATAGGCATAAACCCTAATTGATAGAAACTTGGTACTGATGAAAGCAGAGATATTGGAGGAAGGTTTATATACCGTCTCTGATGATAGCTAGCTAGCTAATTGTACAGTGCATTCGGAAAGTATTCAGACCCCTTCCCTTCTTCCACATTTTGTTACGTTACAGCCTTATTCTAAAATGGATTACATCTTTTTAAAAAACATCAATCTACAGTATTGTGTGTAGATTGATGTTTTTTTCTAAAATGTAATCCATTTTAGAATAAGGTATTATTACATTATATTACATAAGTATTCGGACCTGAAATTGTTTTCATTGATCAACCTTGAGTTTTTCTACAACTTGATTGGAGTCCACCTGTGGTAGACAGGATTGTGTCGAGGCACAGATCTGGGGAAGGGTACCAAAAAATGTCTGCAGCATTGAAGGTCCCCAAGAACACAATGCCCTCCATCATTCTTAAATGGAAGAAGTTTGGAACCACCAAGACTCTTCATAGAGCTGGCCTGCCCGGCCTAACTGAGCAATCGGGGGAGAAGGGCCTTGGTCAGGGAGGTGACCACGAACCCAATGGTCACTCTGACAGAGCTCCAGAGTTCCTCTGTGGAGATGGGAGAACCTTCCAGAAGGACAGCCATCTCTGCAGCACTCCACCAATCAGACTTTTATGGTAGAGTGGCCAGACGGAAGCCACTTCTCAGTGAAAGGCACATGACAACCTGCTTGGAGTTTGCCAAAAGGCACCGAAAGGACTCTCAGATCATGAGAAACAAGATTCTCTGGTCTGATGAAACCAAGATTGAACTCTTTGGCCTGAATGCCAAACGTCACGTCTGGAGGAAACCTGGCATCATCCCTACGGTGAAGCATGGTTGTGGCAGTATCATGCTGTGGGGATGTTTTTCAGCGGCAGGGACTGGGAGACTAGTCAGGATCGAGGGAAAGATGAACGGAGCAAAGTACGGAGAGATCCTTGATGAAAACCTGCTCCAGAGCGCTCAGGACCTCAGACTGGGGCGACGGTTCTCCTTCCAACAGGACAACGACCCTAAGCACACAGCCAAGACAACGCAGGAGTGGCTTCTGGACAAGTCTCTGAATGTCCTTGAGTGGCCCAGCCAGAGCCCGGACTTGAACCCTATCGAACATCTCTAGAGAGACCTGAAAATAGCTGTGCAGTGACGCTCCCCATCCAACCTGACAGAACTTGAGAGGATCTGCAGAGAAGAATGGGAGAAACTCCCCAAATACAGGTGTAGCAAGCTTGTAGCATCATACCCAAGAAGACTCGAGGCTGTAATTGCTGCCAAAAATGCTTTGTTTCACCTCTGTAATTACAGACTGCAATTACCACAGTTACATGTTATTACAGTTTAACCATGAGTTATTACAATGAACTACAATACTTGTTAGTGTAATTACACATGTTATTACACTGTAATAAGGACCCCTCACCTAATACTGAAGTATCATGTACCACCAAGTTTTTAAACCATACTGTAGCTGTAACTGTAACTTTTAAAGTAACATCTACTCTGCTATTCACAGGGTATATTGACTTGTTATGGTAGTAGTTTTAGCACTCATTCATTGTCATATGTTGTAGTGATCTAAATAGACCAAAGCGCTTGACCTGAAATCTCTCTCTCTCTGTCTCTGTCTCTTTTTCACAGAGCCCAGGACCTGTCGTCCAGTGAAGACATAACAGTTCAGGTTGACAAGGTCTGACATGTTTTTCATTAAGCTCACATTAAATCATTTATTTCTCTAATTACCAGCAGCAGCAGCTGTAGCAAATTACTGTTCTCATTATTGAACTCACTAAGCTTACATAATAAGAGGTAAGCTACTACGCTAGAGGGAGTCCACTCAGTCCAGCGAAGAAAAACATCTCTATCCACTTTTCTTCCCTTCATCATTGTCCCCCTCCTCCCTCATTCCCTCTTTTCTTCCCTTCATCATTGTCCCCCTCCTCCCTCATTCCCTCTTTTCATCCCTTCATCATTGTCCCCCTCCTCTCTCTTTTCATCTCGTAGGAGGTCTGCCGCCAGATGAACTCTGTCTTCAAGGAGCTTCTCTCTCGACAATCTCTCCCTCCCGACTCCTCCACCTCCTCCCACCCTCCGCCACAGCAGAAGAAAGGAGGGATCGGGTGGAGAAGGGAAAAGCCTGTTTAGATCAGGCCAACTGGACCGACAGAAAGCGAAAGGAGACCCGAATTAATGGATGGATGAATGGATGAATGAATGAATAAATAAATTAATGAGGAAATGAACGGGAGAGAGACGAGACTCAGACGAGAAGAGAGGGGGGGAGGAGGAAGGAGAGTGACTCGGGCTGATTGAATGATTGTAGGTGTTGGATGACAGGTTCTGGCAGCTGCCTTTGACAGTGTGTTTTACAGATTGCTGGATTAAATTAACCACAGTCAGTTCACTGTACTGTACTTGTCTGCTGTGCTACTCAGAGCAGCCTGCATTGTGGAGCCTGTGAATAGACAGACAGAATCCTACTGTGAAGCCTTTTGTTAGTGTGTTTGATACAACAGAACCCTAACCCCCCACTCTGGAAGCATTGGATTGTTGGAAGCGTTGTGCGTGTACAAGGGCACACTTTAGGAAAAGTGTTGAGAATCAGGACCCAGGACAATGTTAACTAATCAACAGCAGTGTTTTTTTTGCATGAGTAGATTTATCATAAGTTATTTTACCCACAATGACTTGGACAATGACTTGGAATGTGCACTGCTGTATCCTCATGCGTGTGGATGGATAAACCGTACTACTGTTATTTTATTTATATAATCAGTGATGTATACCAATGTGTGCAATGATAAACTATATGCTCCAAGACAAGTGCTTGCCATCAATTTTGAACTTTAAAAGACCATGTGTCTGTCTATATGTGTGGTCACATTCAAATGCTAATTCTTTATTAACAGATGAAAGGGCCATTCTACCTGTGCCAGTGAGATGCCTGTTCGTGATTGAGTCTCTAAGAAACTGATAACAATCAACTGTGAATTCTAACTCGGATTAGTTTCATTCTCTCAGGGATAAAATGTTTCTAGATCATTCTATTACTATTTTTAGATAGTTTTAAGGATCTGACCATTGTTTTAATAAACTTTTATTTAGAATTTGTTCAAAATGTCATATGTTACTGTAGGTATATGTTTTACATGTTACAGGACAAGGAGAAGCCAGTTGCGGTTAGACATTTGCTCACTAGATGGCAGCCTCAACTCACAGAGGATGCAGTACGTGTGTCCTATGTTCTTGGATAATGTATTGTATATTCTAATGAGATAAACCAAGGGGGTGTTGCTGATGTGCAAACCGATACTCCTAATTTTTGAGTTGGTTAAAATTAGGTTATGGAAAGGGTTTTGGTTAAGGTTAGGGAAGATTCGGTTTTTAGGTTTGGGCTGGTCAGGCTGGCAATGGGATTCTGGTCAGAAGAGTCAGCTTAGTCTCTCCCATTCTTGAAATGTCTTCAGTACACTGCTCCAACAACATATGCATCCCATTATTAGCTCTTTGACCAGGAAAATTACATAGTGTAATCACTGTGACTGATACATTGTAATTAGCTGTGTTTGGCCTTAGGAAACGGAACGGGCTTGAAACACTTTGAGCTGCAGAAAAAGTGTGAAAAGGAAGTCTTCGTCAAGACAAGGCATGGGGTAAACATAACCTCCAGAACATTATGTTCTAGTTCGCTTATCATTCAGGATACACACACAAAGACATGCACACACGCACGTGCACACACACACAAAGAAGCAGAGAAGGCATTGATAAATGTTGCCCTGTCTCAAATCGACTCCTATGTCCTATGCCCTTCGCCCTATGCCCTATGCCCTATGCCCTTGTGGAGATCTGAGGGGGTATGATAGGTATAAACATGATAATATGGTGAACATTCCACCTGGCCTATCAGAGGTCTAGATTGATCATGTTAGTTACACCTATCAAATCCTCTCAGAACAAATCAATCAAATTGTGTTTGTCACATGCTTGGTAAAACAACAGGTGTAGGCTAACAGTGAAATGCTTCCTTACGGGCCCTTCCCAACAATACAGAGAGAGAAATATAAATAATAGAAAAATCTCTGGGGGCGGCAGGTAGCTTAGTGGTTAAGAGCGTTGTGCCAGTAACCGAAAGGTCGCTGGTTGTAATCCCCGAGCCGACTAGGTGAAAAATCTTTCGATGTGCCCTTGAGCAAGGCACTTAACCCTAATTGCTCCTGTAAGTCGCTCTGGATAAGAGCGTCTGCTAAATGACTAAAATGTAAATGTATCTCCCCAAGGGCATAGGATGTACTGTAGGATCTAGGGGTAAACCCAAGGGCATAGGACGTACTGTAGGATCTAGGGGTCGACCCAAGGGTGGAGGGTCTAGGGGTCGAATTGGGATTGGGAAACTAATAGACGTCACACTGCATCAGGGATTACAGATGACAGTTTTCAGGCTTGCTACATCTGGCACATTAACAGAAATGTTGATCAATGTGCACTGTCCCTGTCAAAGAAATGAAATCATAGTGACCCCTGACCCCTACACTAAGGTACTGTCTAAACCATCTCAGTCACTCCGCCCCTCTGGTTCCCTCATCCCCTACAGTATGAGAGGACTGAGACCCCTAGCCAATTCATCATGGCCCCGTATACACTCAGATTGTACAACTGATGTACAACACATTTGACACAACGGACAGTTTTTCTGCACAAACATTATTACAGAACGTTGTCGAGACTGCACAACGGTTGTGTAATAATTTTTGCGCAGGCAAACTCTTCATTGTATCACAAAAATATCAGCTGTATCACAACTGCTGTGTGAAATGTAGTGTAGGCTACATCAGTTGTGCAACCTGAGTGTGTACTGGACCAGAGGTACTGTCCAACCCCTTTAGTCTTTCCATCCCTACGGTCAGAACGGACAGAGACCCACTGACCCCTGCTGTCCATTTAATAATCACAATGTCACTGACGGTTAATTCCCCAACTGTTTAGATTCTGTGGGAAAGTTTTGAGTTGTTCCCTGTGATTTATAATTTATATACTGAATATAAAATAATGTGTTTATAGAGAGATTTTATGTAAGAATTGAATGTACGTAGCACTGTGGAGCGACGAAGGAGCTCGATGAGTGATGTATGGTGTGTGATGAGTGCTGGGAATTACCCTCCAGTGTATTTTGGCTTCGGACTATTTAGGCTTTCTGTCTCTCTTCGACTCCCTCTGTCTCCATCAGTTGTTTGGTCCGCAGAGACCCTGAAGTTGGCTTGTACACATCTCTTTCTCTCTTTTGTTTGTGTGTTGTTTAAGATCAAGATTCTGAGTACACCCTCCCCAGGGCGTACTCTCCCTCCCATACCACTTCCATCTCCTCCACCACTCCATCATACCTCCTCCTTCTCCTCCGCCACTCCCGCTTACCGCCTCCACCACCTCCACGTCCTCCACCTCTCCCCATACCTCCTTCACCTCTCCCTCATACCTCCTCCACCCCTCCCCATACCTCTTCCACCTCTCACCCATACCTCCTCCACCTCTCCCCCATACCTCCTCCACCCCTCAATCATACCTCCTCCTTCTCCTCCACCTCTCCCCCATACCTCTCTCCATATTATTATGTGATCATCCAATAAGCCATCAGGGATTGGACCCATAACCCCTGCAGCATAGCCACTGAAGTTGCATGGAAACCAAATCAAACAGGTTAGTGTGGATTTCATTTCAGCCATTTTATTCATCACAGACAGACGCCCATACTCTTTCCGTCCTCTCCGTCACTCTCTCTCTTTCTCTGCACTCCATCTCTCTCTCTCTCTATCTCTCTCTCTCTCACACATTCCTCTCTCTCTCTCTCTCTCTCGCTCTCGCTCCTCTCTCTCTCCTCGTCTCCTCTCTCTCTCTCTCCTCTCTCTCGCCTCGTCTTCTCCTCCCTTCTCCTCTCGGTCCGCTCTCTCTCAATCCTCTCTCTCCTCCTCTCTCTCTCCTCTCTCTCTTCTGTCGCTCTCTCACATTACTCATCTCCTTGGTCTGACCAGGTGTCCAGATGTCCTTCGTTGTCCATCCAGGCTCTGTTGTAGCCGGCCGCGACCGGGAGACCCATGGGGCGACGCACAATTGGCCCAGCGTCGTCCAGGGTAGGGGAGGGAATGGCCTGCAGGGATGTAGCTCAGTTGGTAGAGCATGGCGTTTGCAACACCAGGGTTGTGGGTTCGATTCAACGGGGGGCCAGTATGAAAAAACATTTAAGAAATAATGTATGCACTCACTAACTGTAAGTCGCTCTGGATAAGAGCGTCTGCTAAATGACTTAAATGTAAATGTCCTCTCTCCCCTCGTGGCAGCAGCATTATATCCTCTAGCTCTCTCTCCACAGGATGTTGGTGGCATCTTTATTGGGGAGGAAGAGCTTGTGGTAATGGCTGGAGCAGAATAGGTGGAATGGTGTCAAATACATCAAACGCATGGTTTCCACAACACAACAGGTTTCCATGTGTTTGATGCCATTCCATTTGCTCCGTTCCAGACATTATTATGATCTGTCTTCCCCTCAGCAGCCTCCACTGCCTGTCTCTATCTCTCTCCCTCTCTCTCTCCTCCTCATATTTCTCAATCCGTCTCTGCCGTCCTCCTGTGTATGAAAACCGACTCCTTTCTACCATGAAAAATGAAGTGGTGGTTATAGAGTTTGACCCTAACAGCGAGATATGGAAATTATATTCAACACGATAATGTGAGTTGCCATAACTCTTGCTTTCTTGTGTTTGCCTCTGGCTCAATTTCCTAATTTCTCTCTTCCCCACAATTGAGGTCTTATAAGTCATGTCCCTTTTATTCAGGCCATAAGTTCATGTCTGTGGTTGTGTGGCTGTGTGCATACATGTGAGTGTCTTTGTGTGTGTGCACGTGGCTGCTTGTGTTCATGCATGTGTGTGCTTGTGCATGTGTGTTCCTCCCCTTCCTGTGTGTATCTTCGCTCAGCGCTGCTCTCCAGGTGATAGTAATCAATCAGATTGTCTGATCAGGCCTCTGCCCATCACAGCTTGCTTCAGTCACTCTTTTAATAGGCCTTTTCAGAGCCACATGGCTTAGGTACATTACAATATTACATTTACATTTACGTCATTTAGCAGACGCTCTTATCCAGAGCGACTTACAAATAGGTGCATTCACCTTATAGCCAGTGGGATAACCACTTTACAATGTTTTTATTTTATTTTTTTGGGGGGGGTGGGGTGGGGGGTGGGTTGGAGTAAAGGGTGGGGGGGGGGGGGGGTAGAAGGATTACTTTATCCTATCCCAGGTATTCCTTAAAGAGGTGGGGTTTCAAATGTCTCCGGAAGGTGGTGAGTGACTCCGCTGTCCTGGCGTCGTGAGGGAGCTTCTTCCACCATTGGGGTGCCAGAGCAGCGAACAGTTTTGACTGGGCTGAGCGGGAACTATGCTTCCGCAGAGGTAGGGGAGCCAGCAGGCCAGAGGTGGATGAACGCAGTGCCCTCGTTTGGGTGTAGGGACTGATCAGAGCCTGAAGGTACGGAGGTGCCGTTCCCCTCACAGCTCCGTAGGCAAGCACCATGGTCTTGTAGCAGATGCGAGCTTCAACTGGAAGCCAGTGGAGTGTGCGGAGGAGCGGGGTGACGTGAGAGAACTTGGGAAGGTTGAACACCAGACGGGCTGCGGCATTCTGGATGAGTTGTAGGGGTTTAATGGCACAGGCAGGGAGCCCAGCCAACAGCGAGTTGCAGTAATCCAGACGGGAGATGACAAGTGCCTGGATTAGGACCTGTGCCGCTTCCTGTGTAAGGCAGGGTCGTACTCTCCGAATGTTGTAGAGCATGAACCTACAGGATCGGGTCACCGCCTTGATGTTAGCGGAGAATGACAGGGTGTTGTCCAGGGTCACGCCAAGGCTCTTCGCACTCTGGGAGGAGGACACAACGGAGTTGTCAACCGTAATGGCGAGATCATGGAACGGGCAGTCCTTCCCCGGGAGGAAGAGCAGCTCCGTCTTGCCGAGATTCAGCTTGAGGTGGTGATCCGTCATCCATACTGATATGTCTGCCAGACATGCAGAGATGCGATTCGCCACCTGGTTATCAGAAGGGGGAAAGGAGAAGATTAGTTGTGTGTCGTCAGCGTAGCAATGATAGGAGAGGCCATGTGAGGATATGACAGAGCCAAGTGACTTGGTGTATAGCGAGAATAGGAGAGGGCCTAGAACTGAGCCCTGGGGGACACCAGTGGTGAGAGCACGTGGTGCGGAGACAGCTTCTCGCCACGCCACTTGGTAGGAGCGACCGGTCAGGTAGGACGCAATCCAAGAGTGAGCCGCGCCGGAGATGCCCAGCTCGGAGAGGGTGGAGAGGAGGATCTGATGGTTCACAGTATCAAAGGCAGCAGACAGGTCTAGAAGGACAAGAGCAGAGGAGAGAGAGTTAGCTTTAGCAGTGCGGAGAGCCTCTGTGACACAGAGAAGAGCAGTCTCAGTTGAATGACCAGTCTTGAAACCTGACTGGTTTGGATCAAGAAGGTCATTCTGAGAGAGATAGCAAGAGAGTTGGCTAAAGACGGCACGCTCAATAGTTTTGGAGAGAAAAGAAAGAAGGGATACTGGTCTGTATTTGTTGACATCAGAGGGATCGAGTGTTGGTTTTTTGAGAAGGGGTGCAACTCTCGCTCTCTTGAAGACGGAAGGGACATAGCCAGCGGTCAAGGATGAGTTGATCAGCGAGGTGAGGTAAGGGAGAAGGTCACCGGAGATGGTCTGGAGAAGAGAGGAGGGGATAGGGTCAAGCGGGCAGGTTGTTGGGCGGCCTGCCGTCACAAGTCGCAAGATTTGGAGAGAGAGGGGAGAAAGAAGTCAAAGCATAGGGTAGGGCAGTGTGAGCAGGACCAGCAGTGTCATTTGACTTAACAAACGAGGATCGGATGTCGTCAACCTTCTTTTCAAAATGGTTGACGAAGTCATCCACAGAGAGGGAGGGGGGGGGGGGGATTCAGCAGGGAGGAGAATGTGGCAAAGAGCTTCCTAGGGTTAGAGGCGGATGCTTGGAATTTAGAGTGGTAGAAAGTGGCCTTAGCAGCAGAAACAGATGAAGAAAATGTAGAGAGGAGGGAGTGAAGAGATGCCAGGTCTGCAGGAAGTCTAGTTTTCTTCCATTTCCGCTCAGCTGCCCGGAGCTCTGTCCTGTGAGCTCGCAATGAGTCATCAAGCCACGGAGCTGGAGGGGAGGACCGAGCCGGCCGGGAGGATAGGGGACATAGAGAGTCAAAGGATGCAGAAAGGGAGGAGAGGAGGGTTGAGGAGGCAGAATCAGGAGATTGGAGGGAGAAGGATTGAGCAGAGGGAAGAGATGATAGGATGGAAGAGGAGAGAGTAGCGGGAGAGAGAGAGCGAAGGTTGCGACGGCGCATTACCATCTGTGTAGGGGCAGAGTGAGTAGTGTTGGAGGAGAGGGAGAGAAAAAAGGATACAAAGTAGTGGTCGGAGACATGGAGGGGAGTTGCAGTGAGATTAGTAGAAGAACAGCATCTAGTAAAGATGAGGTCAAGCGTATTGCCTGCCTTGTGAGTAGGGGGGGACGGTGAGAGGGTGAGGTCAAAAGAGGAGAGGAGTGGAAAGAAGGAGGCAGAGAGAAATGAGTCAAATGTAGACGTAGGGAGGTTGAAATCCCCCAGAACTGTGAGGGGTGAGCCATCCTCAGGAAAGGAACTCATCAAGGCGTCAAGCTCATTGATGAACTCTCCAAGGGAACCTGGAGGGCGATAGATGACAAGGATATTAAGCTTAAATGGGCTAGTGACTGTGACAGCATGGAATTCAAATGAGGAGATAGACAGATGGGTCAGGGGAAAAATTGAGAATGTCCACTTGGGAGAGATGAGGATTCCTGTGCCACCACCCCGCTGACCAGATGCTCAATATGTCAGGGTTCAGCTATTCCATCCATCAATTAACTCAAAGTGTCTGCTCTCAGTGCTCCGTGAGAGAGAGAGAGAGCGAGAGAGAGAGAGAGAGAGAGAGAGAGAGAGAGGTCATCTGCCTTTGGCCTAAAGAACAGGAACCTGGACTTCAGCAAAGATATCAGAAATACAGACATTGTCATCCTACAAGAAACATGGTATAGAGGAGATGGACCCACTGGTTGCCCTCTAGGTTACAGAGAGCTGGTAGTCCCAACCACCAAACTACCAGGTGTGAAACCAGGAAGGGACTCAGGGGGTATGCTAATTTGTATAGAGCAGACCTAACTCACTCTATTAAATTAATGAAAACAGGAGCATTTTACATTTGGCTAGAAATTCGAAAGGAAATGATCTCAACAGAGAAAATGTCCTCCTGTGTGCTACCTATATCCCCCCACTAGAATCCCCATACTTGAATGAAGACAGCTTCTCCATCCTGGAGAGGGAAATCAATAATCTCAAGGCCCAGGGACATACTACTACTCTGTGGTGAACTAAATGCCAGAACTGGACAAGAACCTGACACCCTCAGCACACAGGGGGACAAACACCTACCTGGAGGTGACAGCATTCCCTCCCCCATATGCCCCCCTAGGCACAACTACGACAACATAACCAACAAAAACGGGTCACAACTCCTGCAGCTCTGTCGCACGCTGGGTATGTATATAGTCAATGGTAGGCTTAGAGGGGACTCCTATGGTAGGTACATCTATAGCTACTTTATCACTGACCTCAACCCAGATTCTCTCAGAGAGTTCACAGTCAGCCCACTGACACCCCTATCAGATCACAGCAAAATCACAGTCTACTTGAACAGAGCAATACTCAATCATGAGGCATCAAAGCCAAATAATATTAAGAAATGCTATAGATGGAAGGAAAGTAGTGTGGAAACCTACCAAAAAACAATTAGGCAACAACAAATTCAATCCCTTTTAGACAACTTCCTGGACAAAATGTTTCACTGTAATAGTGAAGGTGTAAACTTGGCAGTAGAAAACCTAAACAGTATATTTGACCCCTCAGCTTCCCTATCAAATAAAAAAATGTCAAGCAGACAACCTAAGAAAATTAACAACAATGACAAATGGTTTGATGAAGAATGCAAAAACCTAAGAAAGAAATTGAGAAACCTATCCAACCAAAAACATAGAGACCCAGAAAACCTGAGCCTATGCCTTCACTATTGTGAATCACTAAAACAATACAGAAGGAACAGCACGTCGGAAATCAGCTTAATTGAAGAATCCATAGACTCAATTGGAAAACACTAAACAAACAACAACACAAATAGTTATCTATCCAAAACGGAGATGTATGGATAAACCACTTCTCCAATCTTTTTGGCCCTATAACAAAGAACAAAGAACAAACAGCAAAAACACATACATTATCAAATACAAATCTTAGAATCAACTATTAAAGACTACCAGATCCCATTGGATTCTCCAATTACATTGAATGAACTACAGGACAAAATACAAACCCTCCAACCCAAAAAGGCCTGTGGTGTTGATGGTATCCTCAATTAAATGATAAAATATACAGTCCACAAATTCCAATTTGCTATACTTAAACTCTTTAACATCATCCTTAGCTCTGCCATCTTCCCCAATATTTGGAACCAAGGACTGATCACCCCAATCTACAAAAGTGGAGACAAATTTGACCCCAATAACTACTGTGGGATATGCGTCAACAGCAACCTTGGGAAAATCCTCTGCATTATCATTAATAGCAGACTCGTACATTTCCTCAATGAAAACAATGTACTGAGCAAATGTCAAATTGGCTTTTTACCAAATTACCGTAAGACAGACCACGTATTCACCCTGCACACCCTAATTGACAAACAAACAAACCAAACCAAATGCAAGTCTACTCATGCTTTGTTGATTTCAAAAAAAGCTTTTGACTCATTTGGCATGAGGGTCTGGTGTACAAATTGATGGAAAGTGGTGTTGGGGGAAAAACATACAACATTATAAAATCCATGTACACAAACAACAAGTGTGCGGTTAAAATTGGCAAAAAACACATTTCTTTCCACAGAGCCGTCGGGTGAGACAGGGATGCAGTTTAAGCCCCACAATCTCACATATATATCAACGAATTGGAGAGGGCACTAGAACAGTCTGCAGCACCCGGCCTCACCTTACTAGAATCTGAAGTCAAATGTCTACTGTTTGCTGATGATCTGGTGCTTCTGTCCCCAACCAAGGAGGGCCTACAGCAGCAACTAGATCTTCTGCACAGATTCTGTCAGACCTGGGACCTGACAGTAAATCTCAGTAAGACAAAAATAATGGTGTTCCAAAAAAGGTCCAGTTTCCAGGACCACAACTACACCGTTGAGCACACAAAAAACTATAAATACCTTGGCCTAAACATCAGCGCCACAGGTAACTTCCACAAAGCTGTGAACGATCTGAGAAACAAGGCAAGAAGGGAACATAAAATTTGACATACCAATTAGGATCTGGATACAAAAACTTGAATCAGTTATAGAATCCATTGCCCTTATTGGTTGTGAGGTCTGGGGTCCGCTCACTAACCAAGAATTCACAAAATGGGACAAACACCAAATTGAGACTATGCATGCAGAATTCAGCAAAAATATCCTCTGTGTACAATGTAAAACACCAAATAATGCATGCAGATCAGAATTAGGCTGATACCTGCTAATTATCAAAATCCAGAAAAGAGCTGTTCAATTCTACAACCACCTAAAAGGAAGCTATTCCCAAACCTTCCATAACAAAGCCATCACCTACAGACAGATAAACTTGGAGAAGAGTCCCCTAAGCAAGCTGGTCCTGGGGCTCTGTTCACAAACACAAACAGACCCCACAGAGCCCCAGGACAGCAACACAATTAGAACCAACCAAATCATGAGAAAACAAAAAGTTAATTACTTGACACACTGGAAAGAATTAACAAAAAAACAGAGCAAACTAGAATGCTATTTGGCCCTAAACAGAGAGTACACAGTGGCAGAATACCTGACCACTGTGACTGACCCAAGCTTAAGGAAAGCTTTGACTATGTACAGACTCAGTGAGCATAGCCTTGCTATTGAGAGAGGCCGCCGTAGGCAGACCTGGCTCTCAAGAGAAGACAGGCTATGTGCACACTGCCCACAAAATGAGGTGGAAACTGAGCTGCACTTCCTAATCTCCTGCCAAATGTATGACCATATTAGAGACACATATTTCCCTCAGATTACACAGACCCACAAAGAATTCCAAAACAAATCCAATTTTGATAAACTCCCATATCTATTGGGTGAAATACCACATTGGGCCATCACAGCAGCAAGATTTGTGACCTGTTTGTCACGCCCTGGCTCTAGGGACTCCTTTATGTTGAGCCAGGGTGTGTAGAGTCTATGTTTTGTGTTCTTTGTTTCAGTTTCTAGTTCATGTGTATCTATGTTGGCCGGGGTGGTTCTCAATCAGAGGCAACGAGAATCAGCTGTTGCTTGTTGTCTCTGATTGGGAACCATACTTAGGCAGCCTGTTTGGCACAGTGTATTGTGGGATCTTGTTCCGTGTATGTACCCAAGGACTTCACGTATCGTTTTGTTGTTTTTGTTCGTGTGGTGAATCTAAATAAAAGTATGTTCGCTTATCACGCTGCGCATTGGTCCACTCCTTTCAACGATCGTGACACTGTTGCCACAACAAATGGGCAACCAGTGAAGAACAAAAACCATTGTAAATACAACCCACATTTATGTTTATTTATTTTCCCTTTTGAACTATTTGCACATCATTACAACACTGTATATAGACATAATATGAGATTTGAAATGTCTTTATTATTTTGGAACTTTTGTGAGTATAATCTTTATTGTTAATTTTGTATTGTTTATTTCACTTTTGTTTATTATCTATTTCACTTGCTTTGGCAATGTAAACATATGTTTCCCATGCCAATAAAGCCCCTTAAATTGGAGAGAGAGAGAGAGAGAGAGAGAGAGAGAGAGAGAGAGAGAGAGAGAGAGAGAGAGAGAGAGAGAGACTGGTGATTTAACTGGGCAGTTCCCCCATACACATCTATAACTCATGTTCCAATTTGTAAGTCGCTCTGGATAAGAGCATCTGCTAAATGATGTAAATGTAAATGTTCCATTTAATCATGTGTGTGTGTGTGTTTCCCCACCTAACCTCACTGATATCACACACTATCAAAACATGGCCATTATCTAAATCACTACAAGTTTGCATTTCCTGCTGTGCAGGAAAATTCTCAGCAACAAAAGAATGATCAAATTAAGATCCTACATCTGTATGTGTTCCTACATACTGTAATTTAAGCCCATCATGTCAGCGTTGTGATGACACACACACACACACACACACACAGCATGATCATTTGCCTTACAATTGCATATTCAGCTTCCATCTGATCCCCTGGGATGTGGAGATTAGTCCCTAGGAAATGAATCCCACATGTGTATATCTTACACCGAGCACGGCTATCTGGCCTCTTTGACCCCGGCACTGGTATTCAGAGCTGTCAGAGGGCTTCGGTGATTATTTATAGTGTTGGGGGAACAGATTAAGCCAACTGGGGGATGGCTGGGGCAGCTGGGGCGTTATTGCATCACATCCACAGAGCGTGGGCCCCCCAACCACAACCAACACCCCCCCCCCCCCCCCCCCCCCCCCCAGTCGGCGCTCTCTCTCTGGGCTTTTATGGCTGGCTGAAAGCCTCCTGGCGGGGCCCGGTTGAGAGCCGGTGGGTGAGCTGCACTAGACGAACTACGTGCTATTTCTGTTTGGTTTTATGACAAATTGGTGGAGTTGTTTTCCTTTAGAAGGGGAGACCACTGAGGACCATGGAACTATGCAGCTGCTCATCAGCAGGGGTCAAACTGAAACTGCAGCAATCATTGGTAGGATGTAGAGACAGAGTAAAGCAAGAGAGACGGGGGGAGGGAGATGGAGGGGGAACGAGAGAGACGGGAGGGAGATGGAGGGGGAGAGAGAGAGACAGGAGGGAGGGAGATGGAAGGGGCAGAGGGAGCGAGCGAGAGGAGGGGGGAGATGGAGAGGGCGGAGAGAGTGGAGAAGGAGAGAGACGAAAGGAAGCATGGGGGAGTGATTGAATATTGATGGATGTTTGTTCTATTTGGACCCGTTGTGCCTTCTTTCCTAGTTTCCCTCTCTATCTCTCTCCCTCTTCTTCTCCCTCTCTTCTCCTCCATCCCCCCGCTCCGAAGGGTTCTACATCCTGAGTTCTTGGCTGGGTTCAGGGGGCAGTGCCAAAGCTGCATTACATCTAGAAATGCACACAGAGATAATGACAACCTGCATAACAGGAGCGTGATGTCATCGTGGCTTCCATCCCAACATAAGAACCCCAGCTTCAGCCCCCCCCACCACGTCAGCCTTGTTTCCTTTAGTTTTACTGCCAGGTGTTGCCGAAACAACACAGCACATTTCCTGGGGAAGTTCATGAAATGCCTTGTGATAAATTATAGTTATTGTCTCCCATCCACTACCATGTGCAAGGTAGCAGACATGGGTTCAAATACAATGCGAAATCATATCAAAATACTTTAGCTGTGCTTGATTGAGCTTGTCTGTTGAAAAAGTACCAAAAGTGCAAAAACGCTCAAAGTAACTACAAAGATTTCGAATAGTATTTGAACCCATTTCTGCTACCTTCTGCTATGTGAGGTGATAGCCTGGTCTCAAGAATTCCTCAGCCTCCTCGCCTAGTCAGAGGCTTGTCTAAACTGCTATTAGGGAAGTAAATATGTCATACTAAAAGACCCATGCAATCCTTCTAAACCTCCCAACACGAGAGGTTGGACATTTAGACAATTTTTTCTCCAGAATCCAGACTTCTTTCCACATCTCCTCCTGTCCCCCACTCCTCCTCTCCTCCTGTTGTTATTCCAACGGCTGCAGACCATCACATCGACCCCTCTCTCTCTCTCTCTCTCTCTCTCTCTCTCTCTCTCTCTCTCTCTCTCTCTCTCTCTCTCTCTCCTCTCTCTCTCTCTCTCGCTCTCTCGCTCTCTCTCTCGCTCTCGCTCTCGCTCTCAGAAGTTCCAAAAGAATAAAGACAGATTCAAATGTCATATTATTTATATATATATATACAGTGCTGTAACAATGTGCAAATAGTTAAAGTACAAATGGGAAAATAAATAAACATAAATATGGGTTGTATTTACAATGGTGTTTGTTCTTCACTGGTTGCCCTTTTCTTGTGGCAACAGTTCACAAATCTTGCTGCTGTGATGGCACACTGTGGTTTTTCACCCAGTAGATAAGGGAGTTTATCAAAATTGGGTTTGTTTTCGAATTCTTTGTGGATCTCTGTATTCTGAGGGAAATATGTGTCTCTAATATGGTCATACATTTGGCAGGAGGTTAGGAAGTGCAGCTCAGTTTCCACCTCATTTTGTGGGCAGTGTGCACATAACCTGTCTTCTCTTGAGAACAAGGTCTGCCTACTGCGGCCTTTCTCAATAGCAAGTCTATGCTCACTGAGTCTGTACATAGTCAAAGCTTTCCTTAAGTGTGGGTCAGTGTCACGAGAATTTATATCTCTAATTAATCAAACTGGCGCCAAAAAACATACATACATCCCTTGACACACAAAGGCACTTTGCATGTCACACATGCATACTGACGCCCCACACACACTGCTGCCAGTTACATTACCCCTACATAGCTACCTTAATTACCTCGTACCCCTGCACATCGACTCAGTACTGGTACAACCTTTATATAGCCATGCAATTTTCTACTGCCTATATATAGCCATGTTATTTTCTACTCCCTGTATATAGACATGTTATTTTCTACTTGTTATTTTTATTCTTTATTCATTGTGCCAATATTTCAATTTTCTATTTAAAAAATTGTCTTATCTTTAAATCTGCATTGTTGGAAAAATACCCACAAGTAAGCATTCCACTGATAGTTTACACCTGTTGTCTACGAAGCATGCGACAAATAAGATTTGATTTGATTTGAAGTCCTACACGCTATATAAACACTTGTGGAGATCTGAGAGGATTTGTCAGGTGTAAGCAATATGGTAATAGCTCCACCTTGCCCTTTAATAGGCTAGGTGGAAGTTTCACATATTGCTTCTACCAATAAAATCCCCTCGGATCTCCACAAGTGCACAGGGATTAGGGGTCCATTTGGGATTGGATGTCTTGCATGTCTGCCCTCCCTCTTCCCACTATCATTCTCTTCAGGTGCAACGTTTCTAAACTGCTTTTGATTAAAACAATTTTCTCTGTAAATCCACCAGAAAACACAGCTTTGATTATTTTTCTCCTCTTGCTATGACTACAGGTTAAAGTTATTTATCTCAGTTAGAGACTCTTCATAATGTCTCTCTAATATACACAGTTTAACCCATTATAAACTAATATATACAGTATAACACATTATAAACTAATATATACAGTATAACACATTATAAACCAATATTAACAGCATAACACATTATAAACCAATATATACAGTATAACACAACCCAATATATCAAATCAAATCAAATCAAATTTTATTGGTCACATGCGCCGAATACAACAGGTGCAGACATTACAGTGAAATGCTTACTTACAGCCCTTAACCAACAGTGCATTTATTTTAAACAAAAAAAGTAAGAATAAAACAACAACAAAAAAAGTGTTGAGAAAAAAAAGAGCAGAAGTAAAATAAAGTGACAGTAGGGAGGCTATATATACAGGGGGGTACCGTTGCAGAGTCAATGTGCGGGGGCACCGGCTAGTTGAGGTAGTTGAGGTAATATGTACATGTGGGTAGAGTTAAAGTGACTATGCATAAATACTTAACAGAGTAGCAGCAGCGTAAAAAGGATGGGGTGGGGGGGGCAGTGCAAATAGTCCAGGTAGCCATGATTAGCTGTTCAGGAGTCTTATGGCTTGGGGGTAGAAGCTGTTGAGAAGTCTTTTGGACCTAGACTTGGCACTCCGGTACCGCTTGCCGTGCGGTAGCAGAGAGAACAGTCTATGACTAGGGTGGCTGGAGTCTTTGACAATTTTGAGGGCCTTCCTCTGACAACCGCCTGGTATAGAGGTCCTGGATGGCAGGAAGCTTTGCCCCAGTGATGTACTGGGCCGTACGCACTACCCTCTGTAGTGCCTTGCGGTCGGAGGCCAAGCAGTTGCCATACCAGGCGGTGATGCAACCAGTCAGGATGCTCTCGATGGTGCAGCTGTAGAATTTTTTGAGGATCTGAGGACCCATGCCAAATCTTTTTAGTCTCCTGAGGGGGAATAGGCTTTGTCGTGCCCTCTTCACGACTGTCTTGGTGTGTTTGGACCATGATAGTTCGTTGGTGATGTGGACACCAAGGAACTTGAAGCTCTCAACCTGTTCCACTACAGCCCCGTCGATGAGAATGGGGGCGTGCTCAGTCCTATTTTTTTTCCTGTAGTCCACAATCATCTCCTTTGTCTTGGTCACGTTGAGGGAGAGGTTGTTGTCCTGGCACCACACGGCCAGATCTCTGACCTCCTCCCTATAGGCTGTCTCATCGTTGTCGGTGATCAGGCCTACCACTGTTGTGTCGTCGGCAAACTTAATGATGGTGTTGGAGTCGTGCCTGGCCATGCAGTCATGGGTGAACAGAGAGTACAGGAGGGGACTGAGCACGCACCCCTGAGGGGCCCCCGTGTTGAGGATCAGTGTGGCAGATGTGTTGTTACCTACCCTTACCACCTGGGGGCGGCCCGTCAGGAAGTCCAGGATCCAGTTGCAGAGGGAGGTGTTTAGTCCCAGGATCCTTAGCTTAGTGATGAGCTTAGAGGGCACTATGGTGTTGAATGCTGAGCTGTAGTCAATGAATAGCATTCTCACGTAGGTGTTCCTCTTGTCCAGGTGGGAAAGGGCAGTGTGGAGTGCGATAGAGATTGCATCATCTGTGGATCTGTTGGGGCGGTATGCAAATTGGAGTGGGTCTAGGGTTTCTGGGATAATGCTGTTGATGTGAGCCATGACCAGCCTTTCAAAGCACTTCATGGCTACAGACGTGAGTGCTACGGGTCGGTAGTCATTTAGGCAGGTTATCTTAGAGTCCTTGGGCACGGGGACTATGGTGGTCTGCTTGAAACATGTTGGTATTACAGACTCAGTCAGGGACATGTTGAAAATGTCAGTGAAGACACTTGCCAGTTGGTCAGCACATGCTCGGAGTACACGTCCTGGTAATCCGTCTGGCCCTGCGGCCTTGTGAATGTTGACCTGCTTAAAAGTCTTACTCACATCGGCTATGGAGAGCGTGATCACATAGTCATCCGGAACAGCTGGTGCTCTCATGCATGCTTCAGTGTTGCTTGCCTCGAAGCGAGCATAGAAGTGGTTTAGCTCGTCTGGTAGGCTTGTGTCACTGGGCAGCTCGCGGCTGTGCTTCCCTTTGTAGTCTGTAATAGTTTTCAAGCCCTGCCACATCCGACGAGCGTCAGAGCCAGTGTAGTATGATTCAATCTTAGACCTGTATTGACTCTTTGCCTGTTTGATGGTTCGTCGGAGGTCATAGCGGGATTTCTTATAAGCGTCCGGGTTAGAGTCCCGTTCCTTGAAAGCGGCAGCTCTACCCTTTAGCTCAGTGCGGATGTTTCCTGTAATCCATGGCTTCTGGTTGGGGTATGTACGTACGGTCACTGTGGGGACGACATCATCGATGCACTTATTGATGAAGCCAGTGACTGATGTGGTGTACTCCTCAATGCTGTCTGAAGAATCACGGAACATGTTCCAGTCTGTGCTAGCAAAACAGTCCTGTAGCTTAGCATCTGCGTCATCTGACCACTTTTTTATTAACCGAGTCACTCGGTATATACAGTATAATATATACAGTATAACACATAAATAAACCAATATATACAGTACAACACATTAAACCAATATATACAGTATAACACATAAATCAATATATGCGGCATAACACATTATAAACCAAAATATACAATATAACACATTATAAACCAATATATACAGCATAACACATTATAAAGTGTTTTGGCTTCACTTTATAGGCAAGGATGGACCAAATGCCTGCAAGAAAAAAAGAAAAACAGTTGTGGGCATACCTTGCACTCCACAATATGACATAGTTTCAACACATGGACTAGTGGTTTTGGAGGGGAGTTATTTGGCATGGGAAAGTTGGTTGAACACTCCGTAAACTGTACAGGTCCTACATACAGTTGAAGTCGGAAGTTTACATACACCTTAGCCAAATACATTTAAACTCAGTTTTTCACAATTCCTGACATTTAATCCTAGTAAAAATTCCCTGTCTTAGATCAGTTAGGATCACAACTTTATTTTCAGAATGTGAAATGTCAGAATAATAGTAGAGAGAATGATTTATTTCAGCTTTTATTTCTTTCATCAGATTCCCAGTGGGTCAGAAGTTTACATACACTCAATTAGTATTTGGTAGCATTGCCTTTAAATTGTTTAACTTGGGTCAAACGTTTCGGGTAGCCTTCCACAAGCTTCCCACAATAAGTTGGGTGAATTTTGGCCCATTCCTTCTGACAGAGCTGGTGTAACTGAATCAGGTTTGTAGGCCTCCTTGCTCGCACACACTTTCTCAGTTCTGCCCACAAATGTTCTATAGGATTGAGGTCAGGGCTTTGTGATGGCCACTCCAATACCTTGACTTTGTTGTCCTTAAGCCATTTTGCCACAACTTTGGAAGTATGCTTGGGGTCATTGTCCATTTGGAAGACCCATTTGCGACCAAGCTTTAACTTCCTGACTGATGTCTTGAGATGTTGCTTCAATATATCCACATAAATTTCCCAAAATGTTTGGCATAATGGCTGTTTTATCCACCACATCTACCAGCTCAGTAAAGCATTGCCTTTTGGTTCAAATGCCCCGTTTCTGCCAACCACAGACAAACAGAGCTTTCTTCGTCTCACTCCTCAGGGTGCTGATCAATTACTGAACTAAACCTAACAAACTTCAAATCATGGAAAGAACCCTCCGTATGACAAGTAGTGTGTCACGGTCGTCTAAGGAGGAGGACCAAAGCGCAGCGTTGAGGGTGAACATATTTATTTAACGAATGATCACACGATCAAAACAACAGACGATAACGTGATGTCTACGGTTTTACACAAACCAAATACGAACAAAAACCCACAACCACAAAGGGAAAGACACAGTTTAAATATGGCTCCCAATCAGAGACAACCAGTACCAGCTGACACTCGTTGCCTCTGATTGGGAGTCACTCAGGCCAACATAGAAATACAAACATAGAACTACACACCCTGGCTCAACATAACAGTGTCCCCAGAGCCAGGGCGTGACATAGTGTGTCTTGAGATAAACAATTTTCTTGTTTGTGGAGAAAATAACAAGATAGGCTTCCAGAAAACCAAGAGGATTTACGGTCAAATAAAATACAACAGACAACCATCCAATTAATCTTCAACAGCTCCAGAACCAACTCATTGGAATGCCCCCATCCCATGACCCAACTATGGGGGAAGTGTAACAATGTTTTGATTCATCATCACCAGCCAATGGGATCACACCATCGCTCTGCACTTTCTCTCCTTTTAAACATTCACTGCAATTTGTTCTATGCTATATTTTACATTCTGCACAAAAAAATTATCGCAAGCTTGCTTTTCTCCTCAAATATTTGTAGAGAAAAATGTTATAATAATTGACTAACAAGCTAGGCCAACTGTTGGCAGAATATCTGGGGCCATTTTTTTATTTGCTAGTGTCAAAGGTCGAACCGACGAGACCATCAGATTCTCCCAGAGAATTTCAACCAATGGCCTCCAACACACTCCAAACATGCTCAGAATTTGAATTAACAATTGAAGGTACTTAACAGTACTTAACTCTTCCGAATTGGCTAGATCTAAATTCAACTTTAAGGACACTGGATAGAAAGTGGGTCTGGACCGAACCAAGATGGCCGCCGTTCAACACTCATTGGCGGACACAACATAGGCATTAGCACCTTCTGCTCTCTGTCAACTTCTCTCATCGTCTCTCTTCCGGTCATCTCGTTTTCCATAGACATACAATACGGAAACCCACTAAACAGTTCTTAGCAAAAGACAAGGGGTTTGAAAACACAAAGACCCACAGTCCAATTTGATCCCTTCCTCCTCCCTTCCATTTTCCCTGTCTGTCTCTAATATTAAGGCATACCATTTAATACTAGCCTGCCCTACCCTGTTGGGGTGCCTCAGACAAACACACACACGCACACACACAAAAGCACACACACAAAACGGCTGCTAGGATGCCTTATGAAAAGCTAATGTCTTATCACTTTGCAGGGCCCTAACCTCTGTTTCTATAGAATGTCTTCAGTTTGGAACTATGGCTAGAAACAACAGACTGACTGTTACGAACCCCGTGGCTTTAAAAGTCTAGGGTGGATGGAAAAGAGACTCGTAACATAACTCATGCAAATTAGAATATTGCCAAAAGGAATACACCAACCAAAAAGCTACCGTCAAACACAAAAAATGTTTATTATAAACACCAAGGTAAAGGTTTGGGGAAAAGGGGCTGAGCAGGACCCAAGGAATTAAACAATATTGTCAAAAAAAACTAAACTGATCTTGCCTACCTCAAGAACCGCTAAACTTACTACACAAAAATACAGTGGGTGGTCCGCTCAGGTCTAACTAGTGTTTTTAGACAAAGTTTTCCTACGGGTTGTGAATGCCCAAGGGCGACTTCCTAAAAATCCCCTTTTCCCAGGAACAAACAACATAGTTACCATATGGAGTAAACAGCAAATGAGTGAGTACACAAAAAACAAGACACAACAGTATCCATACTCACAAACAAAAAGAGTCTCTGTCAGAAAACACAACTGACTGGCTTTTAAAGCAAGAGGATGTGTGATGTGATTAGGTATGAAAACCAGAAACAGGTGGTACAATCAGGAGATGTGGCCACTGCTTGGTCCACCTCAGCAATCAGAAGATGAATTGATGATTGACAAGTGGGACACACCAACGACCTCCAATCAGGAACACAAAGGACACCTGTGATTAGGGCAGAAGGAGAGGAAAAACACAAAAAACACAAACAGGATACCTGTATCCGTAACACTCCCACCCTTAAAAGAGCAAACCACAATGTTTGCGACTCCAAGTACTATCACAACACACAAAACTAATTCAAAGAGCAAAAGCATCCTCACGGGATAGAAAATAAATCCTAGATCTCTAAACACGAGACAAGGCATCTGCCAACACATTATCCGAACCCTTTTGGTGGCGGATCTCCAAATTATAATTTTGCACAACAAGTGCCCAACGCATAAGGCGTTGGTTCTGGTTGTACATACGGTGGATAAAAACTAAGGGGTTATGGTCAGTATACACGATCACTGGTAGTGCAATGGAACCAACATAAACTTCGAAGTACTGCAGAGCTAACAACAAAGCTAGAGCTTCTTGTTCAATGGTTGAATAGTTATTTTGTTACATTTCCGCGAAAAATAACAGACAGGATGGTCCACTCCACTCTGGTCCGGCTGCAGTAGAACAGCACCAGCACCTCTGGCACTAGCATCTACCTCAAGTTTAAACGGCCGTTCAAAATCTGGAGCAGCAAGAACAGGGGTACTACATAAGAGTGCTTTCGCAGTGTTGAAAGCAGTATGACAATCCGCAGACCATACAAATTTTATATCGGGAGTCTGTATCACGTAATCAGTTTCACTTAGTTTCTTTTCAATTACATAAGGACCAGAGAAACGTGCTGACAATGACGCTCCTGGTACAGGCAACAATACAAAAACTTGGTCACCCGACTGCAGCGAACGAGAAACAGCCTGGTTGTCATAGTGCCGTTTCATACGTCTCTGTGAGGAAGACAGCGCTTCCTTAGCCAGAGCACAGGCACCATGTAGGCGCTCACGAAAGCGACCTACATAGTCCAACACATTTTCTTTCGCACACAACTCTTGTGATAAAAACTGATCCTTAAGGACTTTCATAGGTCCTCTCGCGGTGTGTTCAAACACCAGTTCAGCTGGGCTGAACCCTAGGGATTCCTGTACTGTCTCACAGACAGCAAACAAAACTAGAGGAACTCCCTCATCCCAATCCTTCTCAGATTCCAAACAATATTTACGGAGCATAGACTTCAGTGTCTGATGCCAACGTTCAAGTGCACCCTGAGACTCTAGGTGATATGCGCTTGACACACGGCGTGTAACTGACAAGGATTTTAACACCTGTTTGAAAAGCTTAGAAAGGAAATTCGTACCTTGATCAGTTTGTACCACCTTAGGTAACCCAAAAGTTGAGAAGAATTTGATCAAAGCTTTACTCACCACTTGAGCAGTAATCCTTCGCAGAGGAATGGCCTCTGGGTAACTGGTGGCCACACACATAACTGTCAACAGAAACTGGTTACCAGCTTTTGTCTCCGGTAATGGTCCAACACAATCAACAATCACATGTTTGAATGGTTCACCTATGACAGGTTTGGGACAAAGAGGAGCGGGAGGAATAAGGTGGTTCGGTTTCCCAGTTACTTGACAGATGTGGCATGTCCGACAGAACTGAGCCACATCTTGTTTTAAACCGGGCCAAAAGAAATGTCGCAAAACCCGATCATAAGTCTTGGTGACTCTTAGATGTCTGGACCACTGGTGATCATGAGCGAGGGATAAAACATTTTGTCGAAAGGCTGTAGGAATCACTATTTGGTAAACAGCATTCCAATCGCCACCAGCGTTAACATGGGATGCCCATTTACGCATGAGGAGATTACCATCAATGAAGTATGCCATGTTTTTCTTCTTTAGCTCCTCCACTGAGACAACACTAGAAAAACATTTAGCCAGGCTAATGTCAACCTTCTGGTTAGTGATCAGCTGGTCACGAGTGACTGGTAACTGTATTGCATCAACAACAAGTTCCACATACTTCTCCCCTTCCCTGGGCTGTTGGTCAGACTGCACCAGTTTACCAGAGGTAGCACACAAGCTATCCTCTGGGTCACACTCGCTGAACAGAATCGTGTTCAACAAATCTATCACGTCACCCACTTGTCGTGCTTGAGCACATGTGACAGCACAAGCGGGGAACACATCTGGATAACTCTGTGCCAGCTCTTCAGAGAGAGACTGGTCACTTTCATCTAATACCTCCAATACGGGTATCACCTTTACTTCGGCAATATCGTTGCCCATTATAAAGGTTACACCTTTTACTGGCAACATAGGACGTACTCCAACTCTCAACAATCCACTGACTAACTCAGAGTGTACGTTCACAAAGTGCAATGGCACTGGTGGCAGGTAGCTTAGTGGTTAAGAGCGTTGTGCCAGTAACCGAAAGGTCACTGGTTCTAATCCCCGAGCCGACTAAGTGAAAAATCTGTCGATGTGCCCTTGAGCAAGGCACGTAACCCTAATTGCTCCTGTATGTCGCTCTGGTTAATCGTCTGCTAAATAAATAAAAAATTAAAATAATAAATAAAAAAATTCCTTGTAATAACACACTGGAACCACAATATGTATTATCGGACAAGGGCAACACATCAGATAGTACGAACGACTGCGCCGCACCAGTATCTCTAAGGATTCTAACTGGACGCTGAGACGCTTCGTCATCTGATATGAAACAAACCCCACAAAAATGAACGGTTCATAACTGCGATCTGGGACTGGGACTTTCAAACCACATTTACTAGGAGACATCTGTTTTGATTCCGGCCTTACAACCGTACGAATCAGCCTTGCAGAGGCATCCCCTGTTTAAAAAAAAAAATATATATATATACAGTGGGGAGAACAAGTATTTGATACACTGCCGATTTTGCAGGTTTTCCTACTTACAAAGCATGTAGAGGTCTGTAATATTTATCATAGGTACACTTCAACTGTGAGAGACGGAATCTAAAACAAAAATCCAGAAAATCACATTGTATGATTTTTAAGTAATTAATTTGCATTTTATTGCATGACATAAGTATTTGATCACCTACCAACCAGTAAGAATTCCGGCTCTCACAGACCTGTTCGTTTTTCTTTAAGAAGCCCTCCTGTTCTCCACCAATTACCTGTATTAACTGCACCTGTTTGAACTCGTTACCTGTATAAAAGACACCTGTCCACACACTCAATCAAACAGACTCCAACCTCTCCACAATGGCCAAGACCAGAGAGCTGTGTAAGGACATCAGGGATAAAATTGTAGACCTGCACAAGGCTGGGATGGGCTACAGGACAATAGGCAAGCAGCTTGGTGAGAAGGCAACAACTGTTGGCGCAATTATTAGAAAATGGAAGAAGTTCAAGATGATGGTCAATCACTCTCGGTCTGGGGCTCCATGCAAGATCTCACCTCGTGGGGCATCAATGATCATGAGGAAGGTGAGGGATCAGCCCAGAACTACACTGCAGGACCTGGTCAATGACCGGAAGAGAGCTGGGACCACAGTCTCAAAGAAAACCATTAGTAACACACTACGCCGTCATGGATTAAAATCCTGCAGCGCACGCCAGGTCCCCCTGCTCAAGCCAGCGCATGTCCAGGCCCGTCTGAAGTTTGCCAATGACCATCTGGATGATCCAGAGGAGGAATGGGAGAAGGTCATGTGGTCTGATGAGAGAAAAATTGAGCTTTTTGGTCTAAACTCCACTCACCGTGTTTGGAGGAAGAAGAAGGATAAGTACAACCCCAAGAACACCATCCCAACCGTGAAGCATGGAGGTGGAAACATCATTCTTTGGGGATGCTTTTCTGCAAAGGGGACAGGACGACTGCACCATATTGAGGGGAGGATGGATGGCGCCATGTATCGCGAGATCTTGGCCGATAACCTCCTTCCCTCAGTAAGAGCATTGAAGATGGGTCGTGGCTGGGTCTTCCATCATGACAACGACCCGAAACACACAGCCAGGGCAACTAAGGTGTGGCTCCGTAAGAAGCATCTCAAGGTCCTGGAGTGGCCTAGCCAGTCTCCAGACCTGAACCCAATAGAAAATCTTTGGAGGGAGCTGAAAGTCCGTATTGCCCAGCGACAGCCCCGAAACCTGAAGGATCTGGAGAAGGTTTGTATGGAGGAGTGGGCCAATATCCCTGCTGCAGTGTGTGCAAACCTGGTCAAGACCTACAGGAAACGTATGATCTCTGTAATTGCAAACAAAGGTTTCTATACCAAATATTAAGTTCTGCTTTTCTGATGTATCAAATACTTATGTCATGCAATAAAATGCAAATTAATTACTTAAAAATCATACAATGTGATTTTCTGGATTTTTGTTTTAGATTCCGTCTCTCACAGTTGAAGTGTACCTATGATAAAAATTACAGACCTCTACATGCTTTGTAAGTAGGAAAACCTGCCAAATCGGCAGTGTATCAAATATTTGTTCTCCCCACTGTATATATATTTAACCTTTATTTTGAAAGTCACGCTGAGACCGCGGTCTGTTATACAGGTGAGCCCTGTAGATACAAAAATATACATATCTATACAATAAAAGCACTTAATATACACGTTCATCACAAAATAAAAAATCCACACGATCATAAAAAACAATCATAAAAAACGAATATATTCACCAATAAACAGGTCCCCTAACAGCCGTCTGAAAAGCCCTAGACGCACCAATTCCTCAAATTTCAGGGTGTTTTGGAGATTGTTCCAGAAACACTAAAAGCAGATATACCCATTTCAGTGGAGATCGAAGGGATCACCAACGTTAGCATCCCTGAATCCGGGTCCGCATTTGATCCAAGGACTAATGAGAGTACTGGACCAGAGAGAAGCAACCGCTTGCCTGCATACTTTGCGGCACCTATCAGGTCTATGAAGCCCTGTTTCAGGCACTCGGAGCTACCTTGTTTGATGTCATTTGATCCTACATGGATCACTAGAGTCAGCCTCAGACAACTGCTTCTGGATTGTGGTAAGCATCACTAAGATATCCAGAATTTTCACACCAGGAAAGCACAAGGTTCTGACACCTTCAACCGAAACTTGGCTTACCATAGAGCTTCCCACAACAACCGATCTCCACTTGTGTAAAGTCAGCCTTACGTCGTACATGCCTGTCTGAACTGTCTTGTTACATGACTGCAGCATGAAAACGTTTGAACTACTATCTGCTTATATGCTTGCCTTAGCATGACCCAATATTCTCACTACTAGACTGTTTCTATGACTCTATAGTGTACTGTATGACTGACTGACCTATTATACCATTGTTCTGAGGACCTCCTTCCAGTCACAGATTATGCCAATAGCAATACCGCCCTTGTTATTGTGTCTGCTGTGCTGTGAAGTGAGCACATCTGGCACGCTGATCTATCTATCTATCAGGTCTGTCTGTCTGTTAGGTCTGTCAGTATGTCAGTCTGTCTGTCTATCAGGTCTGTCTGTCTCTATCTATCTATCTAATGATCAACAGTCGTAACAACTGCAGTTTTATGTAGAGCAGCTCAGTCCTGAGAGAGGACAGAACAACACTGTCAGACAAACAGCAGTAGTTCACATAGCCTCATAATAATACACACAGGCACAAACGACCTGAGAACACAGCAGGAAAGGGTGGCCATAGCACTCAAGGGAGTGATAGAAAAAGCTTATTCTACTTTCCCCAACGCACAAGTGGTTATCTCAACCCTGCTACCACGAAAAGACTTCCACCCTGCTACCATACAGCAGGTAACCGCAAGTATTTCCCGAGACTGTGCCTCAAAACCAAATGTCTACCTGGCCCACCACTCCACCCTGGACTTGAACAGCCTTTACGACCAGGTCCACCTATGCAAGGCAGCAGTGCCCACCTTCGCCCGGACCCTAAAGGATATCGCCCTCAACCACAGACCCAACACCTCACACAGGAGCAACAGATCAACAGACACCCCGACCAGACCAGTGAAACACTCTCCCAGACCTGCGGGAACCCCCCTGGACCTACACATAGAGGACCCCCGCCGAGAGGACCTACATCCAGACCACAGCACCACCAGCCACATCCACACCCCCCCCCCCCCCCACCAATTAACACCCCCCCCCCCCCCCCCCCCCCCCCCCCCCCCCCCCCCCCCAAGTCAACCATGCCCACACAACATTTAGGCCCCCTCACATCAGACCTATGCCCCTCCTACCCACCCCATGCCCCCCACTCCCGCAAAGAGGGCCTCAACATGAAAGTCACACATATGCCCAGGCCGTGAGCAGGCAAACAGGCCCAACCCCCACTCTTACACTAGCCCAAGCCAATGGCATGTACCAGATGCTCAGCAGGCTCTGCTCACAATTACTGGCCTGAGGCCAAACCACACGACCAACAACATTAGACACTTTATGGAACACAAAGCCTTCACTATTTCATCCTGGAATATCCAAGGCCTGAGGTCATCTGCCTTTGGCCTAAAGAGCAGGAACCTGGACTTCACCAAAGAAATCGGAAATATAGACATTGTCATCCTACAAGAAACATGGTATAGAGGAGACTGGTTTCCCTCTAGGTTACAGAGAGCTGGTAGTCCCATCCACCAAACTACCAGGTGTGAAACAGGGAAGGGACTCAGGGGGTATGGTAATTTGGAATAGAGCAGACCTAACACTCTACTAAATTAATCAAAACAGGAACATTTGACATTTGGCTAGAAATTAAAAAGGAAATGATCTCAACAGAGAAAAACGTCCTCCTGTGTGCTACCTTTATCACCCCACTAGAATCTCCATACTTTAATGAAGACAGCTTCTCCATCCTGGAGGGGGAAATCAATAATTTCCAGACCCAGGGACATGTACTAGTCTGTGGCGACCTAAATGCCAGAACTGGACAAGAACCTGACACCCTCAGCACACAGGGGGACAAACACCTACCTGGAGGTGACAGCATTCCCTCCCTCATATGCCCCCCTAGGCACAACTACGACAACATAACCAACAAAAACAGGTCACAAATCATGCAGCTCTGTCCTACGCTGTGTATGTACATAGTCAATGGTAGGCTTAGAGGGGACTCCTATGATAGGTACACCTATAGCTCATCTCTTGGCAGTAGTACTGTAGACTACTTTATCACTGACCTCAACCCAGAGTCTCTCAGAGCGTTCACAGTCAGCCCACTGACACCCCTATCAGAACACAGCAAAATCACAGTCTACTTGAACAGAGCAATACTCAATCATGAGGCATCAAAGCCAAAGGAACTGAACAATATTAAGAAATGCTATAGATGGAAGGAAAGAAGTGTCGAAACCTACCAAAAAACAATTAGGCAACAACAAATTCAATCCCTTTTAGACAACTTCCTGGACAAAATGTTCCACTGTAATAGTGAAGGTGTAAACTTGGCAGTAGAAAACCTAAACAGTATATTTGACCTCTCAGCTTCCCTATCAAATCTAAACATCTCTAACAGAAAAATGAAAAAAAAAAGTTACAACAGTGACAAATGGTTTGATGAAGAATGCAAAAACCTAAGAAAGAAATTGAGAAATCTTTCCGACCAAAAACATAGAGACCCAGAAAACCTGAGCCTACGCCTTCACTATGGTGAATCACTAAAACAATACAGAAATACACTATGGAAAAAGAAGGAACAACATGTCAAAAATCAGCTCAATGTATTTGAAGAATCCATAGACTCTAACCACTTCTGGGAAAATTGGAAAACACTAAACAAACAACAACACGAAGTGCTATCTATCCAAAACGGAGATGTATGGGTAAACCACTTCTCCAATCCCTTTGACCCTATAACAAAGAACAAACAGCAAAAGAATGTACATGATCAAATGCAAATCTTAGAATCAACTATTAAAGACTACCAGAACCCACTGGATTCTCCAATTGCATTGAATGAACTACAGGACAAAATACAAACCCTCCAACCCAAAAAGGCCTGTGGTGTTGATGATATCCTCAATGAAATGATAAAATATACAGACCACAAATTCAAATTGGCTATGCTTAAACTCTTTAACATCATCCTTAGCTCTGGCATCTTCCCCAATATTTGGAACCAAGGATTGATGACCCCAATCCACAAATTTGACCTCAATAACTACCGTGGGATGTGTCAACAGCAACCTTGGGAAAATCCTCTGTATTATCATTAACAGCAGATTAGTTCATTTCCTCAGTGAAAACAATGTACTGAGCAAATGTCAAATTGGCTTTTTACCAAATTACGGTACGACAGACCACGTATTCACCCTGCACACCCTAATTGACAAACAAACAAACAAAAACAAAGGCAAAGTCTTCTCATGCTTTGTTGATTTAAAAAAAGCTTTTGACTCAATGTGGCATGAGGGTCTGCTATACAAATTGATGGAAAGTAGGGTTGGGGGAAAAACATATGACATTATAAAGTGTGCAGTTAAAATTGGCAAAAAACACACACATTTCTTTCCACAGGGCCGTGGGGTGAGACAGGGATGCAGTTTAAGCCCCACCCTCTTCAACATATATATCAACAAATTGGCGAGGGCACTAGAACAGTCTGCAGCACCCGGCCTCACCCTACTAGAATCTGAAGTCAAATGTAAATCTCAGTAAGACAAAAATAATGGTGTTCCAAAAAAGGTCCAGTTGCCAGGACCACAAATACAAATTCCATCTAGACACCATTGCCTTAGAGCACACAAAAAACGATACATACCTCGGCTTAAACATCAGTGCCACAGGTAACTTCCACAAAGCGGTGAACGATCTGAGAGACAAGGCAAGAAGGGCTTCTATGCCATCAAAAGGAACATAAAATTCGACATACATAGGATCTGGCAAAAAAGACTTGAATCAGTTACAGAACCCTTTATGGTTGTGAGGTCTGGGGTCCGCTCACCAACCAAGAATTCACAAAATGGGACAAACACCAAATTGAGACTCTGCATGCAGAATTACAGTATAATACAGTATAAATGTGTGAGGTGTTAGAGTTATAATGTAGTGTCAACCCACTAACATAGGAGGGAAGTTAGAAACTGTTGAGAAAGCATTCCAGGGTGAAGGGGACTAAGAAACGGTTTAAAGGTGGGCGGAGCAAAGTGCCTTTGTGTGTCAAGGGATATAAAAGCTGTATGTATGTTTTTTGGCGCCAGAGCTCTCCATGATTAAAAATACTGATCATTCTTGCTGGTTGCGGACCTTTGTTTAATTCATGATTAAACCAGAGAATTTACACACTCTGGGAATTATTCAGAGCATTAAGTTTGATTAATTAGAGATAGAAATTCTCGTGACAAATGGTCCTTCGAGCGGAGCTCAAAATACGTCTTTATCGTTCTGAGGACACCGAAATCAGTGCACGGGCGGATGATAGCATCCGTATAGAATAGACCTGGCCTTCGACGTTAAGGTTATAAACAGGCCGGTGATGAATCTTATGAACGATAAAGACGTTAACGAGATTTGAAAAAGCATTTAAATCCGAACTGCAAGGAGAAGGTCAGTAATTTTTATTCATGGATTTTGGTGTGATTATTTGAACAATTCTTGTGAAGGGCAGAGAATAGTTACCAAAATCTCATAAGAGAATTATAAAGGAAGGAAGAATGGTCCGAAAATGACTCTAGGTAGATAGCTATTACCAAAATAAACTAGTTAATATTGAGATTGTACGAGATACAGTCTTTACAATATAAACAGGAAGGGAGATAATTATTGTCGTGTGAGATAGATACATTAAACAAGTCAAGAGTCATAAACAACTGGGGATTTGCTCTAACTCTGTCTATTTCATGAAACTGGAGCAGTTATGACCTCTAGGTTATGGATAGTGTTAGCAAAAAATCGTATAAGGTTGTATACGTGTGATACCTAATGATCCATCAAAATATGTGATAATTGTTTCAAGGAAGGGACTAAAATAGGTCGCGTGAGAAAACAATGGTTGTCCCATCCGTTTCATGAAACTACGATCTTAAAAAACTCTGGGTTACGGGTTGGATAATTTAAATGGTTCATTACAAAAAGCAGATCATAAACATTCGCTCGAAAGTCGCACCAAAATAATAAGTCCCAGAAAAAAGTATTTATTACTAAACGGGGAATTTCTTATTTTTCTACCATGGGAAATAAATATTCTAAAGAGGTCCGCGAATTAACGGGGGATGAAAGATATATGTTAGGAAGGGATCGAAGAAATATGTTTTATGGATCCATTTGGGAGAAGAGGTATGGATTTATTGGGCATCTCGATGTGGAGAAGTTAGAGGTTATGATTAGGAAGATGCATATAAACTGTGGAACGGATTTAAAGAAACAGCGAGGGGAGGGGCTAGAGACAGCGAGGGTATGGCTTTTGGAGGCTCGGAAGAGAGAGGAAGGACAGAAAAAAAAAAAAAATTATGCAGAGAGAAAATGAAGTAAAAATTTAGGTTTCAGTGCCTCCCCAGAGCAGAGGGCAGAAAGGTTATATCCAGTTTTAGTAGAGCAAGCTTGGAAAGAAAGCCCAGATGATAATGTTGTCATGTGTAGGAGAAAATTAGGAGTTGTCTCCACCCCTCCCCCACCATATGACGGCCAAGCCGGAATGCTGGAAGGAAGGGAAGGAGGGGGGAGAGTAGGGAGGCCAGTAAAGAGAAAAAAGACGGGGAAGTTTTACACAAAGAACTTACAGAACTCAGGGAAAGTAAAGAGGAAATAGGGAGGCTAAGAGTAGAACTGGATAGAGAGAAAGAGGCAGGAAGAGCTAGAGAATGTAAACATAGAGAGTTTAAACACAGGGAGTTGAAGAGATTAGAAGACTATAATAAGCCAGGGAAGAGAGAGTGTTTAGATGATGAGGAAGGGGATGACCAATACCCTTTGATAGCCTTGCCGAACCCAAGGGCTGGGGAGGAGGATACACCAGACACACTGGATGTGTATAGGGCATGGACACAGTGAGATGTAGTAAGAGCTATAGAGGGTGTAGTGCACCCTAAGACAGGAATAGAGGGGTTCAGGAGGGATTTGGAGAGTCTAGCAGCAAGCTTTAAGCTAAACACAGGGGAAATTGAGAGGGCAGTCAGAACGCTAGTGGGGAAAGATTGGGCAGCTGTTCGGGGGCAGTGGGTTTCAGGGGATGCCAATGGAGCAGTCCTGCCATGGGCAGATGATGGGCAATATGTTGGGAAAATAACTGAGTTGTGTAATAATTTGAGGGAACATTACCATCGACATGCTGACTTCTCCAAAGTACATGAATGTAAACAGGAAGACAGTGAGACCATCAGCCAATACTTAGAGAGACTGAGAAATGTATTTAACGCAAATAGTGGCATACCTGAGCCTCCCCAGGGGCAAGGAAATGATACTCCGTACCATCAGCAGCTAAAAATAGCATTCCTTAGTGGAATGAGACCAGAAATAAGCAGGAATATTAAAAGGACTTTAGTGGGATGGGGAACTACTTCGTTAGCCGAGGTCAAGAGATATGCAATCCATCATGAGCAAAATAGTAGACAGGACAGAGTAAGAAAAGAACAGAAGGGAGCAGAGTATTTAATGACCACTCTAGGGGAAATAGCTGGTAGAGGTAGAACTCCAGAAGAGAGGGGAGCAAGGCCTCACTCTTTCCTGCCCTATGGGGGAGGAAGTAAGTGCTTTAACTGTAACAAGAAAGGGCACTTTGCCAGAGAGTGTAAGGCCCTGTGTAAATACTGTAAAAAGACAGGCCATAACAATCGCGATTGCAGACATAAAGGAAAGAGTAAGCGAGATAATTGGGGTAGAGAAGAAGAAAAGACCTACAGACACCCATCGCCCAGTTCCGGTAAGGAGGAAGAGGAGGATAACGCATGACTAGAACAAGGGGAAGATAGTAGTATAGATAGTGGAGGAGAGGGGTCAGAGGAACCCATTGATACGGGGTGTGAAGTGTTTGAATTGGCAACGATTGAATTGGCTCTGCAGCAAGAACAGAAACCATACCTCACCTTAACAATACTGGGGAAAAATATTACATTCTTGTGTGACACAGGGGCATGTCGCACAGCGATCTGTGCAGCCGACATGACCAAAGGAATTAGAATTAATGGGGAAAAAATCATGGTACGCTCGGCCTCGGGCCATCAATTTATAGAGCGATTATCGGCCCCTGTGACTTTACAACATGAAGATTCAGGGGGAGAGGTATGCATACCTGTACTTGTATCAAGCCTGTGTCCAGTCAATTTACTAGGAAGGGATGCCATGACTCAGTTGAACGTAGCTGTGAAGCCGACTCTGAGGGGTATGAAGGCATATGTAGTAAGGGATAATATGGTAGTGAGCGGGGAGGGAGAACCATGCTATTGGTATAGCCAGGATCTGCTAAGAGGGGGACTTACAGACATACTGAAATCACTAATAGACCTAGCAAATGATTTAGTGATTGGATCAACCAAGATGACAGTAGATTACTTACACTGTACATTATGGTGTAATGAGCACCCGGGCCCTAACCCAGATTATGAGGAAGAATTGTTAAAAACCACAGAAAGAACAATTGGGTTAAAATGGGTTCACTGTGATAAAAAACGTGCAGCTGTAGAGGTGGAGTTGGGACCACAGAGTCAGAGACTGTACAGAGAAAGGTGGAGCCCCCATGTTTCCCTAGTGAAAGAACCTTCAGAGGAATGGTTATCACTAGGTAAATGGGTAAAAACATCACTGACTGGCAGAATACACCAAATGGGGATCAGTATGGCCACTCCACTGGAAGATATAGAAGAAAGTTGAATTGGAGAGCAAAAACCCAGCCCGGGTTCCACCTGGAGACAAGTTTTAACGAATGACAGGAATATATTTTCTTAACTCAGGAACAGGAGGATGAGTTAGCAGCAATTCCGTTCAAATTATGGTCACAAGGACCAGCCGATGTGGGACTAATTAAGGGGGTAGCTCCAGTACAAGTGGTTCCTCGATCCGATCACAGACCATACCAAAAGCAATATCCTATGAAACCAGAAGCAATAAAAGGGATAACACCTACATTTGAACATTTACTTGAGGGAGGGGTGATAATTCCTGGAGATGAGGCACAATGCAACTCTCCAGTATTTCCTGTTAAAAAGGCGGCACCTAGCGCCGACTGGAGGATGGTCATGGACTTGCAGGGGGTTAATAGAAATATAATTCCCAGAGCTCCATGTGTACCAGATCCACATATATTGCTGAACCAATTGAAACCAGAGAACTCCTATTTTACGGTGATTGATTTAGCTAATGCTTTCTTTAGTATCCCAGTTCATCCAGATAGTCAGGGGTGGTTTCGCTTTACATTTCAGGGAAGGAAATGGACTTACGCTAGGATGCCACAAGGCTACTCGGAAAGTCCTACAATCTTTGCCCAGGTTATAACTAGGAATTTGGGAAAGTTTGAACCTCAGGAAGGAAGCCAAATATTAGTTTATGTAGATGATATTCTATTAGCTAATCCCACTCAGGAAGGATGTAAGAGGGATACAATCCAATTGTTAACCTTCCTGCCAGAACAGGGACACAAAGTGAGCAAAAGGAAACTTCAACTTTGGCAGAGCGAGGTGATTTACTTAGGACACATCATAACTCAGGAGGGGCGAATGTTAAACTCATCCAGAAAAACTGCTATACTTGGAGCGCCAAAACCGTTAAACAAGAAACAAATGATGAGCTTTTTGGGGATGATAAACTACTGTAGAGCTTGGGTACCGCATTATGCACTGCATACTGGGAAGTTAAGTGATCTTATCTATGGGAAGGCAATGGCAGCCCATGATAAAATCATTTGGAACTCCGAGGCGGAGGAACAATTTATAGAGATATAAAAGTTGCTCACTTCCCAAACAGCCGTAGCTTTTCCTAGATATGACAGGCCTTTTACCCAAACGGTGGACTGTAGGGAAGGATATATGACATCGGTCTTGACTCAAAAACATGGGGATAAGAACAAACCCATTGCATATTATTCATCTAAATTAGACCAGGTAGCACAAGCAATGCCACTATGTTTACAGTCTGTGGTAGCTGCAGCTCAGGCGGTGCAAGATTCGGCATCAATAGTTTTGTACCACGATTTAACCCTAAGGGTTCCGCATGCAGTATCCATACTGTTGTTGGAGCATAAGATGGCCTATATGTCACCCGCTAGACATTTATCTTGTATGATAATCCTGTTAAATATGGCTAATTTGACCATTGAACGGTGTACAACTCTGAACCCCTCTACTCTGGTTCCTATTGCAAGATGGCAGCCCACATGATTGTATAACTGAAACTGAGAAACTTGTGTTGCCAAGACCTGACTTGAAAGACCTAGCCTTAGTAGATGGGGAAGTGACTATGTTTGTTGATGGTTCATCTAGAAAAAACCCTGATGGTACGAATGCTACAGGATATGCAGTTGTAACAGAGACCGACATCTTGGAAGCCGAATCATTATCCCCCTTTGTAAAAGTGTTTGGGAGACCATATAGAATGCCCGAGTTAGGCAGACTAGAGCAGGCAGATACAGTGGGGAAAAAAAGTATTTAGTCAGCCACCAATTGTGCAAGTTCTCCCACTTAAAAAGATGAGAGAGGCCTGTAATTTTCATCATATGTACACGTCAACTATGACAGAATTCCAGGAAAAAAAAAGAATTCCAGAAAATCACATTGTAGGATTTTTAATGAATTTATTTGCAAATTATGGTGGAAAATAAGTATTTGGTCAATAACAAAAGTTTCTCAATAGTTTGTTATATACCCTTTGTTGGCAATGACACAGGTCAAACGTTTTCTGTAAGTCTTCACAAGGTTTTCACACACTGTTGCTGGTATTTTGGCCCATTCCTCCATGCAGATCTCCTCTAGAGCAGTGATGTTTTGGGGCTGTCGCTGGGCAACACGGACTTTCAACTCCCTCCAAAGATATTCTATGGGGTTGAGATCTGGAGACTGGCTAGGCCACTCCAGGACCTTGAAATGCTTCTTACGAAGCCACTCCTTCGTTGCCCGGGCGGTGTGTTTGGGATCATTGTCATGCTGAAAGACCCAGCCACGTTTCATCTTCAATGCCCTTGCTGATGGAAGGAGGTTTTCACTCAAAATCTCACGATACATGGCCCCATTCATTATTTCCTTTACACGGATCGGTCGTCCTGGTCCCTTTGCAGAAAAACAGCCCCAAAGCATGATGTTTCCACCCCCATGCTTCACAGTAGGTATGGTGTTCTTTGGATGCAACTCAGCATTCTTTGTCCTCCAAACACGACGAATTGAGTTTTTACCAAAAAGTTATATTTTGGTTTCATCTGACCATATGACATTCTGGACGTGTACTGGCTTAAGCAGGGGGACACGTCTGGCACTGCAGGATTTGAGTCCCTGGCGGCGTAGTGTGTTACTGATGGTAGGCTTTGTTACTTTGGTCCCAGCTCTCTGCAGGTCATTCACTAGGTCCCCCCGTGTGGTTCTGGGATTTTTGCTCACCGTTCTTGTGATCATTTTGACCCCACGGGGTGAGATCTTGCGTGGAGCCCCAGATCGAGGGAGATTATCAGTGGTCTTGTATGTCTTCCATTTCCCAATAATTGCTCCCATAGTTGATTTATTCAAACCAAGCTGCTTACCTATTGCAGATTCAGTCTTCCCAGCCTGGTGCAGGTCTACAATTTTGTTTCTGGTGTCCTTTTGACAGCTCTTTGGTCTTGGCCATAGTGGAGTTTGGAGTGTGATTGTTTGAGGTTGTGGACAGGTGTCTTTTATACTGATAACAAGTTCAAACAGGTGCCATTAATACAGGTAACGAGTGGAGGACAGAGGAGCCTCTTAAAGAAGAAGTTACAGGTCTGTGAGAGCCAGAAATCTTGCTTGTTTGTAGGTGACCAAATACTTATTTTCCACCATAATTTGCAAATAAATTCATAAAAAATCCTACAATGTGATTTTCTGGAATTTCTTTTCTCAATTTGTCTGTCATAGTTGACGTGTACCTATGATGAAAATTACAGGTATCTCTCATCTTTTTAAGTGGGAGAACTTGCACAATTGGTGGCTGACTAAATACTTTTTTCCCCCACTGTATAGAAGTAGAAGGGACGTTGGCAGGACATATGAGAAGACTGTTCATTAACCAAACACGTATGTCAAAGATTTTGTGCCCCACAGGAGAACTAAAGGAGAGGGTAACCCACTCTATCCAACCAGGTGACTGGGTGTGGATACAATCCCTAAAGAAGAAAGACTGGAAGCAGCCCCGTTGGGAAGGCCCCTATCAGGTTTTATTGGTCACCGCCTTTGCCATTAGAATAGCAGAAAGAGCAACCTGGGTCCACGTTACCCACTGCAAAAAGGTAAGAACACAGACAAGCACCACTGAACACACGCATAGTTAGAGAGAAGAACTGAACCAATAGGGTCCGGGGATCACCTCTGTTAACGAAGATCTCCTACCCTGACCTATCATCACTGTAGTGTGTTCTTAGGGTGTGAGTATGGGGTGGTACCAAGCAGAAGGACTAAGGGCAGGAGAGGTTTGGCGGTTTTTGGGAATATGGGTGACCCTGAGCTGCATCATAGTCTCGGCAATAGTCTTGATATGTCAAGATCCACCACCACCCCGCACCAATGACACTATGCCCTTACCATTATTAAGAAATAAAAGGGAAGCGACCCGACATACTGACCATCAAGGACGAGTGATCTACAAAATAGGAGTCAGAGAAGGGTGGGGAGTAAGATTCAAAATTAGGATTAGGGATCTTATCAGGGCGGGTAAGCAAGCAACGTGGGATTATAGAATCCCATTGTATTTATGTTCAGCTCCCTCTGCGGATTGTTCCTGGGCTCAGGTGTTTAGACATACTGGGGGACGGAGATATGAGACGGGGGGGCTGGACGTCCAGATGGAGGATAAGAAGGTATAACGACATCCCCACGGAGATGGTAGTGACAATAGTAAAGGTCACTAAAGAGGACATGAAAATAACTTACTGGGCTTGCGCGGATGAATACGGACGCGATACCTGTCTACGATTACATTTGGTGGAGTCGAAAGAGATGGAGGGCCCAGGTCCTGTCATTAATCCATTAATAGCGATTGACCGGGTAAATCAGTCAAGGGATGACGGAGTCAATTCAACTAACCCGTTCACTATGAAATATTTTCTCCTCCAAGAATGGAACCAAGGGGAAGTAGAGGGAGTCCCGGAAGAAAATCTCTGGTTAAAGTGGATGAAGTACACTGCTAGGGCCTTGGGGGAGACCAATTGTTATGCATGCTCCATTGGGCGACCGACAATGTTGACCGCCCCAATGCCAAAGGCAATGTTTCCCTGTGTATTAGACCTGGGGTCCAATCAAAAAGAGCACAATTGCACAGGAATTGGGCTAGCAAAGTTGACTTACTCGGCTAGCCCACCTAGGTTCACTTTAACTCCTGGCGAATACCAGTGTTACAGACATAGAAATGGCACCCGTAACTTGGGTGATTTTGATGGCTGATTGTGACTGATTTAGATAGGGGGGGGGGGGGGGGGGGGGGGGGGGGGGGGGGGGGGGGGGGGAATTATGAACCTTACCATCCCTCTGACTGATGTGTGGTGGGCATGTACTAACAAAGGGAGCATTCGACAGACATTACCAGAAGGATGGGTGGGTAATTGTGCCCCAGTATTGTTGGTCCAACCTGTAAGAATTAGTCATCAAAGACCAGTGACAGGAAGAATAATCAGGAGGAGAAGAAATATAGGTCAGGAAGGAAATAGCCCAATTTGGATAGATGTTATAGGCATCCCCAGGGGTGTTCCAGACGAATACAAAGCTATGAATCAAATATGGGAGGGTTTTACCACAACATTTTTCTGGTGGGTGACAATAAACAAGAATGTGGATTGGATTAATTATATCTATTACAACCAACAACGATTTATTAACCAGACTAGAGATGCAGTAAAGGGGATCTCCAAACAATTATCCGCCACTTCACTCATGACTTGGGAAAATCGGTTGGCTCTGGATATGTTGCTGGCAGAACGGGGCGGAGTCTGTAAAATGGTGGGGGGCCATTGTTGCACATTTATCCCTAACAACACCGCACCGGAGGGGACAGTAACCAGAGCTCTTGCAGGATTAACTGCTCTAAGTGAAGAATGGGCTGAAAACTCAGGAGTTAGTACATATTGGACAGGGTGGTTTGATACCATGTTTGGTAAATGGAAAACCATAGCAGCCACCATCTTAGGGGCAGTCAGCGTTTGTATGAGTATTCTTGTATTATGTGGTTGTTGTTTTGTTCCCTGTGTCCGAGGATTGGTGAGTAAGGCGTTGATGAATGCAGTATCTCACCAAATGATGAGAGATGGACCGACTCCGGACTCTGACGAGGAGAGTGGGAAATGCGATCCTCCAGGCTTGGGGGATAACGAGGACTTTGACCTTGAAAGACCGCAATTGGATGAAACTTTTATTGGTTCTGACGTATAAAGGTCATAGGGAAAATCTTAAGAAGAAGACCTATGATTGGAAGTAGATAAATAGAACTAATCTCTGAGATTAATCATACTTGTAAATACATTTATCCTGAGTGTGAAAACATTTAGTCAAAGGGGTGGATTGATAGATTAATTTGTATTTTAAGAATAATGACTGAAGGATTTCACCCCAAATACAGTATATATGTGTGAGGTGTTAGAGTTATAATGTAGTGTCAACCCACTAACAGAGGGGGGAAGTTAGAAACTGTTGAGAAAGCATTCCAGGGTGAAGGGGACTAAGAAACGGTTTAAAGGTGGGCGGAGCAAAGTGCCTTTGTGTGTCAAGGGATATAAAAGCTGTATGTATGTTTTTTGGCGCCAGAGCTCTCCATGATTAAAAATACAGATCATTCTTGCTGGTTGCGGACCTTTGTTTAATTCATGATTAAACCAGATAATTTACACCCTCTGGGAATTATTCAGAGCATTAAGTTTGATTAATTAGAGATAGAAATTCTCGTGACACTGACCCACACTTAAGGAAAGCTTTGACTATGTACAGACTCAGTGAGCATAGACTTGCTATTGAGAAAGGCCGCCGTAGGCAGACCTGGTTCTCAAGAGAAGACAGGTTATGTGCACACTGCCCACAAAATGAGGTGGAAACTGAGCTGCACTTCCTAACCTCCTGCCAAATGTATGACCATATTAGAGACACATATTTCCCTCAGAATACAGAGATCCACAAAGAATTCGAAAACAAACCCAATTTTGATAAACTCCCTTATCTACTGGGTGAAAAACCACAGTGTGCCATCACAGCTGCAAGATTTGTGAACTGTTGCCACAAGAAAAGGGCAACCAGTGAAGAACAAACACCATTGTAAATACAACCCATATTTATGTTTATTTATTTTCCCATTTGTACTTTAACTATTTGCACATTGTTACAGCACTGTATATATATATATATATATATATATAAATAATATGACATTTGAATTTGTCTTTATTCTTTTGGAACTTCTGAGAGAGAGAGAGAGAGAGAGAGAGAGAGAGAGAGAGAGAGAGAGAGAGAGAGAGAGAGAGAGAGAGAGAGAGAGAGAGAGAGAGAGAAACAAAGGGTGGCATAATGCATAACAAAAAGAATAGCACATCCTAAAACAGCAAGTATGTGTCAATGACTCTGTTACTTAACTTGATTAACATCTAGAGAGTCTTATGTTCAGCACACCTGGCTTCAAATAGGATACATTTTCTCTCAAATGCTTTGTGCTGTGCTTGATTGAGCTTGCCTGGTGTGATATAACCAGTGGAATTGTCCCAAAAGTGCAAAATTCCCCCATCTCACCTGGTAATCAAACGCTTGATGCAATTGAAAGAAAACAAACACTATTTGAACACAGGGCACAGAATCAGTGTGTCAGTGTAGGAGTGCTGATCTAGGATCAGGTTCCTGTCCATATAATCTTATTCATTATTCAGTAAAAGGCTAAACTGATTCTAGATTAGCACTCCTACTCTTAAATGCTTTATGAATAGGGGCCCAGGTCTCTCTCTATCTCTCTCTCTCCCAACTCAAGCTCTCTCTTTTATTGACTCTCTCACCCCTCTCCCTCTCTCTTTTACTGCCACTCTCTTCCTCCTCTCCCTCTCTCTCTCCCCCCTTCCTCTCTCTTTTATTACCTCTCTCTCCCCTCTCCCACTCTCTTTTACCACCTCTATCTCCCCTCTCCCTCTCTTTTACTACCCCTTTCTCCTCCTTTTCTACTTTACCGCGCTTCTCCTTTCTCCCTCTCTCTTAATACCGCTTCCCCCCTCCTCTTTTACACCTCTCGCCCCCTCCCCTCCGCCCTACTACCCCCCTTCTCCCTCTTTAATAACCTCTCTCCCCCCGTCCGCCTTTTACTACCTCTCTCTCTCCCCCCCTCTTCTACCCTCCCTCCTCCCTCTCCCCTCTCTCTCCTCCCCTCCCCTCCCTTTACTACCTCTCGCTCCCCTCTCCTCTCTCTTTTAACTAAACCTCTCCCCTCTCTCCCCTCCTCTCTCCCCTCCCTCTTCTTTCCCCCTCTCCCCTCCCCCCTCTCCCTCTTCCTTTTAATACCTCCCTCTCCCCTCCCTCTCTTTTACCGGTCGCTCTCGCCCTCTCCCTCTGCTCTTGACCCCCGTCTGCGTCTCCCCCTCCCCACGCCCGTCCCCCCCGCGCCCCCCCTCCTTTCGACTCGCCCTTCGCGCTTCTCCGCCTCCCGCTCTCTCTACTACTTCTCTCGCTTCCGCCGCTTGCAAGTCCAGACGACCGTTGACGTAGCTCCGTCTCCCAGAGCGCCGCAGGGTCGTACATCTCGCGCCCCTGCCCTCATCGTTTACTAACTCGCTCACCTCCCCTCTCTACCCGGAGGGGTAGGCAGGAAATCGGGGGTTATATGAGCTGGAGGGGGGGGAAGGGGGGGAAAAGGGGGGAGGGGGGAGAAGGAAGGGGAAAAGAAAGGAGGGGGAGGAGGGAGGCAAAACTCCTAAATCCTTTTCCGTTACTTCTTTACTACCTTGGTCTCTCTTGACCCCCTCTCACTCTACCATCTATTTCTGTCTCTTCTACGTCTTCTATTCTTCTGAAAATTCTTTATTTTTACACCCTCCTCTTCCCCTGCTACTCTTTTTACTCCCTCTCCCTCTTCTCTCTTCCCTCTCGGGTTTATATACCCCTTCTCCCCTATCCCTCTTTTTTAATACCTCTTCTTTTCCCTCTTCCCCTTCCCACTTCTTTACTACCTTCTTCTCTCTCCCCCCCTCCTCCTCTGTTTTTAAACCTTTCTCTCCCCTCTCTCCTCTCTGTTTTACTACCTCTCTCTCTCCCCTCTCCCTCTCTCTTTTAATACCTTCTCTTCCCTATCCCCCTCTTTTTAATACGCTCTCTCTCCCCCTTCCCACTCCTTTACTACTCTCCCCTCTCTCTCCCCACCCGCTCTTTTAAACTTGCTCTCCCCTTTCTCCCTTCTGTTTACGACCTTCTCTCCCCTATCCCCTCTCTTTTAATACCGCTCTCTCTCTCCTCTCTCCCCTCTCCCTCTCTCTTTTACTACCTCTCTCTCTCCCCTCTCCTCTCTGTTTTACTACCTCTCTCTCTCCCCTCTCCCTCTCTCTTTTTACCCTTTCCTCTATCTCCCCTATCCCCCCTCTTTAAACTCTCTCTCTCCCCTCTCCTTTTCTTGTTACTACTTCTCTCTCTCCCCTCCCCCCTCTCTTTACTACCTCTCTCTCTGACACTGCCTTTTTCTCCCCCTCTCTCTCTTCCTCTTCCTTCTTTCTCCTCTTCCCTCTTTTTCCCTTGCTACCTTTCTATTTCTCTCTCTCTTGCTCACTGCATGCTCCCTCCCTCCCTCCCTCCCTCCCTCCCTCCCTCCCTCCCTCCCTCTATCTCCCCTTACCCATGTATCTTACCCATCTCTTACTCTGCCATCTCTCCCATTTAACCTTGTATCATTTAACAACTACTTTTCCAGATAAAAACAAAAACATATCACTGTCCATTCAGTGTTTTTTATGCTCTGTGTTGCCACTTAGTCTCTATTGGCCTCCCTCCTCCTTCCCTTCCTCCATCCCTCCTTCCCTCCATCCCTCCTTCCCTCCATCCGTCCTTCTCTCCCTCCCTCCCTCCTTCCATCTCTCCCTCCTCTTCCTCCCTCTCTTCTTCTCCCCCTCCCTCCCTGTTACCCTCTCCTCCCCCTCTCCTCTCTGCTATTGAATAATGAGTAACAGCTCTTCCAGGAAACTCTCAAATCTGCTCTTATGACCAACATCACGTTGTTGGCACATTTTTAAACCTCACTTCAAAGCCAGTAGATTTTTTTTGTTGCCTGAGATCAAATCTTTACCGCTTATGGTATATGCACTGTATGTAGCCTATACTATCTTTACATGATTGCAGTGCAGTGCTATGAAATTATGATAAAACATTATGAATAATGGTAAATGTAATCACATTGTTTTCTCCGAGATGCATGTAAGGTAGAGTGTGTGGCGTAATTGCAGAGTCATCTCTGTTCTGCAATTACGTTTAATTAATTTGTTGTATTTATTTACTTATTCATTTTTGAGGGCAAATCATACTCAAATTAACTTCTTGTTATTGTTGATGTCGTTGACATTATTGTTATTATAGACGTTTTTATTCTGATAACCATTATTTTTGTACTCTTCTTATTTTATTCTATTGATTGAAAGGTTGTTGTTAGCCTCTCTCTATTATGACCACACCTCAAGCCCTGTTGTCTGCACCCCAAATGGCAACCTATTCCAAATATAGTGTGTGGGCTCCCTATTCACATAGGGCCCTGGTCAAAAGTAGTGCACTACATAGGGAATAGGGTGCCAATTGGGACGCAGCCTAATATCTCAATCCAAAACACCACTGAGCTTATTTTACACCATCTGTGGGATAGTGTTAGTATGTAGCTCTTTCCCATAATAAATCAGAATAGTTGAAAATGGAGGACTGGGCCTTTAAACGCACCTCAGCTTGTTATCATGGGCCAGACATTGCTAAAGACATCCATTGAATTATGAACTGAGAATTCAGGCATAACCAATCATAGCGTGACACTAGGCGTAATGGTTTGGAATACATTATACACAGCAGAGGGGAATCCAGTAATTCAAGATGTAAACACAACATACTCACAGACTCACAGGCACAGACTCACAGGCACAGACTCACAGACACAGACTCACAGATACAGACTCACAGACACAGACTCACAGAGACATACTCACAGACACAGACTCACACACACAGATGTACACAGACAGACAAAGACAGACAGACAGACAGACAGACAGACAGACACAGGCACGCATAAATACACACACACACACACACACACACACACATACAAACACACACACACTCACACATACACACAGATGTTATCAAACATAATATCTGTAAACATACCACAAGAGTCCTTCTCTTGTCTCCCTCTGCCCTAACAGAGTACTATTCACCCCACTCCATCTCTCTCCCTCTCTCTCCCTCTCTCTCCCTCACTCTCTCCCTTTTCCTGTCCCCTCTCTCTTCCTGTCCCCTCTCTTCCTGTCCCCTCTCTCTTCCTGTCCCCTCTCTCTTCCTGTCCCCTCTCTCTGCTCAGGGCTCCCAGTGACAACACTCTCATTCAACCACATTTTCCACCTCCACAAACATAATCATTATCATCACAGTTAAGTGAATTACGTCAGCACTCACATACTCTGGAGAAGTATGTGGACTGTAAACGTATACTTACAGATGTATGTGGAACATATGTACACACACATGCATGGCACACACACACACATACACACACACTGGCACACACACAAACCTTGGCACCAGATGGTGTTAACATTCTGTCGCCTCCTGTCTCCTCTCGTAGCCTACAGATGTAGACATATTTATGCTACAAAACACACCACCCACCTATATAGCACTACAAACTGTGCTTGTTCAAAATCTCAAATAATAATACGTAAGGGATGGGTCGCCAAGTCGACTTGACATGTAAATAAACCATTCATTCATTCATTCATTTGTTTGTTTGTTCTTTTTTTCTTTTTTATTCGTTCGTTCGCTCACTCATTCATTTGTTTGCTCATTCGTTCATTCATTCAGTACGGTGATTAGTAAGATAATCAACCCTGGATTATAGCCTTCTAGGACGGTTAATCATAGACATACTGTACATTCACATACATGTAGGCTATATATTCAGTGCAAAACAGAAAGAGAAAACAATATTCCATCTAGATCCAGGTGCTGGTATTGGCAGGAACAACTATATGTGTTTATACCTCATTTTTACATCATTATAAACTGGGTGGTTTGAGCCCTTTATGCTGATTGGCTGAAAGATGTGGTATATCAGACCGTATACCGCGGGTAAATAAAATACATTAATAATACTTTTTACTGCTCTAATTACAATGGTAACCAGTTTATAATAGCAATAATACCCCTCGGGGGTTTGTGGTATATGGCCAATATACCACGGCTAATGGCTATAGCCAGGCGTTGTGCCTAAGAACAGCCCTTAGCTGTGATATATTGACCATACAGTGCATTTGGAAAGTATTCAGACCCCTTGACTTTTTCCACATTTTGTTATGTTACAGCCTTATTCTAAAATTGATTAAATTGTTGTTTTTTTCTCATCAATCTACACACAATACCCCATAATGACAAAGCAAAAACAGGTTTTTAGATTTATTTAGCAAATGTATTAAAAATAAAAAACTGAAATATCACATTTACATAAGTATTCAGACCCTTTACTTTGTTGAAGCACCTTTGGAAGTGAATACAGCCTCGAGTCTTCTTGTGTATGACGCTACAAGCTTGGCACACCTGTATTTGGGGAGTTTCTCCGATTCTTCTCTGCAGATCTTCTCAAGCTCTGTCAGGGTGGATGGGGAGCGTCGCTGAACAGCTATTTTCAGGTCTCTCCAGAGATGTTCGATCGGGTTCAAGTCCCGGTCTGGCTGGGCCAATCAAGGACATTCAGAGACTTGTCCCGAAGCCACTCCTGCATTGTCTTGGCTGTGTGCTTAGGGTCGTTGTCCTGTTGGAAGGTGAACCTTTGCCCCAGTCTGAGGTCCTGAGCGCTCTGGAGCAGGTTTTCATCAAGGAGCTCTCTGTACTTTGCTCCGTTCATCTTTCCCTTGATCCTGACTAGTCTCCCAGTCCCTGCCGCTGAAAAACATCCCCACAGCATGATGCTGCCACCACCATGCATCACTGTAGGGATGGTGCCAGGTTTCCTCCAGATGGGAAGCTTGGCATTTACATTTTAGTAATTTAGCAGACGCTCTTATCCAGAGCGACTTACAGTTAGTGAGTGCATACATTTTTTTTCATACTGGCCCCCCTGTGGGAATCGAACCCACAACCCTGGCGTTGCAAACGCCATGCTCTACCAACTGAGCTACATGGGACACAGAGTTCAATCTTGGTTTCATCAGACCAGAGAATCTTGTTTCTCATGGTCTGAGAGTCCTTTAGGTGCCTTTTGGCAAACTCCAAGCAAAGGGTTTGAATAATTATGTAAATACATTTTTTATATATTAGCAAAAATGTAAAAAAAAACTGTTTTCGCTTTGTGATTATGGGGTATTGTATGTAGATTGATGAGAATTTTTATTTATTTAATCTATCACGTTTCAGGAGAAGACCCAGATGCAGACAATGTCGAAGTAACAAAAGTTTATTACAAAAACAGGGGGCAGGTCAAGGGCAAGCAGAGGTCAGTAATCCAGATCAGAGTCCAAAAGGTACAGAATGGCAGGCAGTCTCAGGGTCAGGGCAGGCAGAGGTCAATAATCCAGGGTTGTGTGATAAAGTACAGAATGGCAGGCAGGCTCAGGGTCAGGGCAGGCAGAATGGTCAAAACCGGGAAAACTAGAAAACATGAACTTGAGAAAGACAGAAGCAAGGGGGAAAACGCTGGTAGGCTTGACAAAACAAAAAAACTGGCAACAGACAAACAGAGAACACAGGTATAAATACACTGGGGATAATGGGGAAGATGGGTGACACCTGGAGGAGGGTGGAGACAATCACAAAGACAGGTGAAACAGATCAGGGTGTGACAGTACCCGCCCCTCTAGGGGCGCCACCTGGTGTCCTACCTGGGTCTATACCTAGTTGACCGGGGTGCCGATGTTGAAACTCAGCGATGGACCCAGCACCTCTCCTCCGGGCCATAACCCTCCCAATCAACCAGATACTGGAATCCCCTGCCTCGAGGTCGAACATTCAGGAGACGCCTCACCGTGTACGCCGGTTGGCAGTCGATGAGACGGGGGAGAGGGGTGGGCCTGGAAACAGGAGACAAAGGGCTGTGAGACATGGGTTTGATCCTAGACACATGAAAAGTGGGATGTATATGGAGGGTACGGGGCAACAGAAGACGAACAGCAGAGGGGCTAATGATCTTGGAGATGGAGAAGGGGACAATAAACCCAGAGGAAAGTTTGCAGGACTCCACCTGGAGTGGCATATCTCGGGTGGACAGCCATACCTTCTGCCCTAGACGATACCGGGAGCCGAGGTCCGGTGGCGGTCCGCTTGTCGTCGATACCTAGAGGTAGTCTTGAGATTAGCCGACCGGGCTCTCCTCCAGGTACGATGACAGTGGTGGACAAACATCTGGGCCGAGCGAATGCCGACCTCTTCCTCTTGCTCCGGGAAGAGCAGGGGCTGATAACCCAGGGAACACTCAAAGGGCGAAAGACCCGTGGCAGAGCAGGGAAGGGTGTTGCAGGCGTATTCGACCCACACTAGTTGCTGGCTCCAGGTGGTAGGGTTGGCGGAGACCAGGCAGCGCAGAGTCGTCTCCAGGTCTTGGTTGACTCGCTCCGACTGGCCGTTGGACTGAGGGTGGAAACCAGAGGAAAGGCTGGCCGACGACCCAATGAGTGTGCAGAACGCCTTCCAGAACCGGAACGAGAACTGAGGACCCCGGTCAGAGACCATGTCCACTGGGAGTCCATGGATCCGGAAGATGTGCTGCACCATGAGCTGGGCCATCTCTTTGGCGGAGGGTAGCTTGGGAAGAGGAATGAAGTGGGCGTCTTTGGGAAACCAGTCCACAACAGTCAGGATGGCGGTGTTGCCATCAGATGGGGGAAGACCTGTGACAAATGAGGAACAGACAGAGGTTGCAGGAGACCAGCCGGAGCTTGCCGAGTTGTCTTTTTCTGCGCACAGATCCTGCAGGCGGCGATGAACGCGGAGACATCAAGAGCCATGGTAGGCCACCAAAAGCGTTGTCGCACAAAGGCCAGGGTCCGACGGGAGCCCTGGTGGCAGGCAAGCCTGGAGGAGTGGGCCCTCTCCAGGATCGAGGAGCAGACAGCGTCAGGAACAAACATCCGGATATCTGGGCCCCCCCCCCCCCGGGGTTCGGCTGGGAATGCTGTTCCTCCCGGACCTGCTTCCCTATTCCCCAACTGAGTGCCGTCGCCAAGCACGAGGTGGGAAGGATGGTCTCGGATTCCGGGGTTGTAGCCCGGGGCAATAGTGGCGTGACAGTGCATCTGGCTTGACATTCTTGGATCCCGGTCGGTATGATAGGGAGAAGTTGAACCGGGTGAAAAGTAGGGCCCACCTAGCTTGCCTGGAATTGAGATGCTTGGCAGTGCGGAAATGCTGCTGGGTCAGTCATGGCCAGTTCGTACTATCACATTTCTGGAGAAGACCCAGATGCAGACAGTGTCGAAGTAAAAAAGGTTTATTACAAAAACAGGGGGCAGGCAAACGACAGGTCAAGGGCAGGCAGAGGTCAGTATTCCAGATCAGAGTCCAAAAGGTACAGAATGGCAGGCAGTCTCAGGGTCAGGGCAGGCAGAGGTCAATAATCCAGGGTGGTGTGACAAGGTACAGAACGGCAAGCAGGCTCAGGGTCAGGGCAGGCAGAATGGTTAAAACCGGGAAAACTAGAAAACAGGAACTTGAGAAAGACAGGGGCAAGGGGAAAAACGCTGGTAGGCTTGACGAAACAAAAACAAACTGGCAACAGACAAATAGTGTATAAATACACTGGGGATAATGGGGAAGATGGGCGACATCTGGAGGGGGGTGGAGACAATCACAAAGACAGGTGAAACAGATCAGGGTGTGACATAATTCCTTTTAAGGCTGTAACATAACAAAATGTGGAAAAGGGGAAGGGGTCTGAATACTTTCCGAATGCACTGTTTACCACAAACCCCCGAGGTACCTTATTGCTTAAATTTACATTCTACTGTCTACATCATTGGGGCTTACTCTCAGAGCCTTCTAGGGGTTCTAACGCTGACTCTGAGTTTATTAACAACTTTACATCTTAACAGTGTTTACATTGTCTTTCCATTTATTGGCGCCATGCTCTAAAACATCCAGGAGGAGACTTCTTCCTGTTGGAGTCCATTGGTCTTTGGGTTTCTATTTGTGCGTCTAGATCTTTTTGTGATGACGAAGTGAGATTTCTTTTTCTCAACACTTTTTTTGTTGTTGTTTTATTTTTACTTTTTTTGTTTAAAATAAATGCACTGTTGGTTAAGGGCTGTAAGTAAGCATTTCACTGTAATGTCTGCACCTGTTGTATTCGGCGCATGTGACCAATAAAATTTGATTTGATTTGATTTGATTTGAGATTGATACACCTCTATTGTATACCTCTCTCTCTTCCGCCCCATCTGCCCATCGATCCATCTCCCCCGTCTGTCTTCCATTCTGCTGCTCTATCCATCTCTCTATTTCGGTCTTTCATTCTGTTGCTCTATCCATCTCCCCCGTCTGTCTTCCATTCTGCTGTTCTATCCATCTCTCTATTTCGGTCTTTCATTCTGCTGTTCTATCCATCTCTCTCTTTCGGTCTTTCATTCTGCTGTTCTATCCATCTCTCTCTTTCGGTCTTTCATACTCCTGTTCTATCCATCTCTCTATTTCGGTCTTCCATTCTGCTGTTCTATCCATCTCTCTCTTTCGGTCTTTCATACTGTTCTATCCATCTCTCTCTTTTCTGTCTTCCAATTTCCTGCTCTATCCATCTCCCGTGGGTTTACTAAAGGTCTAATGGGATTCAAACAGTTAGATCCAAACTAACATGTAAAAGCCAGCCCTCGCTCCTCTATCACCTATCCCTTCCTCTCTTCAGGCCCCTGAGTGGCTGGGTTGGGTTTGGGGGGAGGGTCTGGGGTGGGGCAATAATCATCATAGGAACTCCATACAAGAAGGATACGCGCACGCAAATGTACCCACACACGTGCGGGCCCACAGACTTGCCTCTGCAATGACTGCTATTTACCCTACCACAGCCCCTACAGCATCTTCATCCCCACCTGCATTTTCACTCCACACACTCAAGCTGCGTCCCAAATGGCACCCTATTTCCTATTTAGTACTGCACAATGTGTATCACGTGTATTTCTAAGGGCTCTATTTAATCAGATCTGCTTTAGCCGACATCAGCATAGCGGTTGTTTTGGCGGTGTCAGAGGTGGAACTGCGTTAGAACTGTGAAATCCTCAAGAGTCTCCAGGCATTATACCTAAAGCGGACATTGCCATTGGCTACACGGAGTCGCATTAACAGAAATCCCATGCAGCCTTGTTTACAAGTTGGAACCCTGGAATGTGAGATGTAATCTACACCTCTATTAAGATGATAGAAATCCTCCTTATTTTGTTGAATTATTGTTTCTATGTATTATTGTTTCTATGTATTATTGTTTCTATGTATTATTGTTTCTATGTATTATTGTTTCTAAGTATTATTGTTTCTATGTATTATTGTTTCTATGTATTATTGTTTCTATGTTTTATTGTTTCTATGTATTAATATTATTATATAAACTTTCTCATTATGAACTTCTAATGCAAATGGGATAGGTGTCAGTAGTTCCGATGTGGATGTGGTGGAGGAGTCAGGCGCAGGAAACAGAGGATACGTCCAAAAGACTTTAATAGTCCAAAGTGCAACAAACAATACACGACCTCGAAAACAGACGGAGGCGAGGCAATACGCAAACACGCGTAAACAATAATCCAACAAAGGCAGAGTGCAAAACACGCAGCTCCGCACGACAGGCAGAAATAACAACACACAATCAGACTAATGCAAAACAAGGAACTTATAAGACAAGTAATCAACACACAAATGGACACAGGTGTAAAAGACAGACGAAAGCAATCACACACGAAACATAGAGCGGTGGCAGCTAGTACTCCGGGGACGGCGAACGCCGAAGCCTGCCCGAACCAGGAGGAGGAGCAGTCTCGGCAGAATCCGTGACAATAGGTGTGGCTTCATGACAATTGTCAAGTTGTTTTGCGTGGCCGGGTTCCCTGGGTGGGTGGAGTTTGCTCATTTTAAATCATTCCATTGATCCTTAAGTGAAATCTCCACCCTCTCTGGGCACTGGGCTATGCAAAACAACTCCACCATTGATCTCAAGAGCAGCTGCTCACCAATTTGATGGCTCTAACATAGTTCCAACTCCACACCTCCAAAACATCTGCTATATGGGTGTTTGCTATCGCTGGTTAATGCTTGTTCCGATTGAATCTAGGCCTAAATGTGTTCCATGTCCATTTATAGAGTGATAACATGGAAATATATCATTCCTTTTATTGACTTTCCTCGCGTTATCCCTCCTCCTATCTCTCCTCCTACTTCTCCTCCTCCTCCATCCTGTCCTCCTCTATCCTCCTCCTCACTCCTCCTCCTACTCCCCCTCCTCCTCCTCCTGTCTATTGCTCCCTCCTCGCTCTCCCCTCTACTCCTCCTCCTCCTCCTCCTCCCTACTCTCCTATCTCCTCCTCCTCCTCCTCCTATCTCTCCTCCTCCTCCTCCTCTTCCTCCTCCTATTGCTCCTCCTCCTATCTCCTCCTCCTCCTCCTCCTATCCCTCCTCCTCCTCCTCCTCCTATCTCTTCCTCCCTCCTCCTCCTCCTCCTCCTGCTACTCCTCCTCTCCTCCTCCTCCTCGTCCTATATCTCCTCCTCCTCATGCTATATCTCCTCCTCCTCCTCCTCCTATCTCCTCCTCCTCCTCCTCCTCCTCCTCCTCCTCTCCTCGTATCTCCCCTCCCCTCCTCCTCCTCCTCCTATCTCTCCTCCTCCTCCTATCTCTCCTCTATTCTCCTCCTCCTCCTCCTCCTATCTCTCCTCCTCCTCCTATCTCTCCTCCTCCTCCTCCTCGGCATCCCATGTTCCTTTCCTCTCTCTCTTTTTTTCCAAATATGCTTGTGCTGCTGTTTACCCCCCTCCCCTCTCCTTTTAGAATGTTTTATCACTCCATCATTATCCTAGAAAGCTGTGTGAGTGTGTGCATGTTGGTGTGTGTGGGTCTTTGCATGCGTGTGTTTGTGCATGCGTCAGCGTGCGTGCGTGCGTTCGGTCCCCAGACAGCAGTGCTACAAAAGAGAGAGAGGGACCAGGCATCACTAGAACAATAAATGAGAGAGAGAGACACACAAAGAGGAGGAGGAGAAAAACAGGAGGAAGATAAGGTACTGAAGGGAAGAGAGAGGACTATCAGAGAGAGACAGTCATCATAGCCAGGAAACATCTGTACTCTGTGACCTTTCTGAGAAATTGCCCTGTCCTCAGGAGCCCATGTGACACACACACACACACACACACACACACACACACACACACACACACACACACACACACTGATATTCAAAACATCTGCACTGAGCTTAAGGCTAGAGCTGCCCTTTTCAAGGAGCGGGACACTAATCCGGGCGCTTATAAGAAATCCTGCTACGACCTCCGACGGGCCATCAAACAGGCAAAGCATCAATACAGGACTAAGATCGAATCCTACTATGCTGTCTCTGATGCTCGATGAATGTGGCAGGGTTTGCAAACTATCACGGATTACAAAGGGATACCCAGCCATGAGCTGCCCAGAGACGCGAGCCGACCAGACAAGCTAAACAGGTTAACATTCGCAAGGCCACGGGGCCAGACGGAATACCAGGGCGCGTACTCAGAGCATGCACTGACCAGCTTCACTGACATTTTCAACCTATCCCTGACCCGGTCTGTAATACCAACTTGTTTCAAACAGACCACCATAGTCCCCGTGCCCAAGAACGCCAAGGTAACCATTCTAAATGACTATAGCCCTGTAGCACTCACATCTATAGCCATTAAATGCGTTGAAAGGCTGGTCAAGGCTCACATCAACACTGTCATCCCAGACACCCTGAACCCATTCCAATTAACATACCGCCCCAACAGATCCACAGATGATGCAATCTCTATTGCACTCCACACTGCCCTCACTCACCTGGACAATAGGAATATCTATGACTACAGCTCAGTATTCAACACCATAGTCCCCTCCAAGCTCATCACCAAGCTCAGGACCCTGGGACTGAACACCTCCCTCTGCAACTGGAGCCTGGCCTTCCTGATGGGCCGCCCCCAGGTGGTGAGGGAAGGCAACAACACCTCCGCCACGCTGACCATCAACACGGGGGCCCCTCAGGGGTGTGTGCTTAGTCCCCTCCTGTACTCCCTGTTCATCCACGACTGCGTGGCCGTGCATGACTTCAACACCATTATCAAGTTTACTGACGACACGACTGTGGTAAGACTGATCACCGACGACAATAAGGGAGCCTTTAGTGAGGAGGTCAGAGACCTGGCATTGTGGTACCAGGACAACAACCTCTAACTCAACATCAGCAAGACAAAGGATCTGATCGTGGTCTACAGGAAACGGAGGGGTGTGCACACCACCATCCACATCGATGGGGCTATAGTGGAGCGGGTTGAGAGATTAAAGTTATTTGGTGTCTACATCACTAAGGAATTAACATGGTCCACACACACCCACACAGTCGTGAAGAGGGCACGACAGCGCCTCTTCCCACTCAAGAGGCTGAAAAGATTTGGCATGGGCCCTCAGATCTTCAAAAGGTTCTACAGCTGCACCATTGAGAGCATCTTGACTGGCTGCATCACCACTTGGTACGGCAACTGCTTGGCATCCGACCTCAAGGTGTTACAGAGGGTGTTGAGTATGGCCCAGTACATCACCGGGGCTGAGCTCCCTGCCATCCAGGATCTCTATACCAGGCGGTGTCAGAGGAAGGCCCCAAAAAATTGTCAAAGACTCCAGCCACCCAAGCCATAGACTGTTCTCTCTGCTACCGCATGGCAAGCACTACCAGTGCACCAAGTCTAGAACCAACAGGACCCTGAAAAGCTTCTATCCCTAAGCCATGAGACTGCTAAACAAGACTGCTAAATAGCTCATCAAATGGCTACCCGGACTACCTGCATTTACCCTTTTTTGCACAAACTTTCTTGCACTGACTCACACATACTTACACTGAAATCCCAACACACACATATACACACACACACTACATATGCCCACACACATATAAAATGCGCACACATGCATACTGACACCACACACACACACACACACACACACACACACACTTTCACACTCACCACATACGCTGCTGTTACTGTCTATTATCTATCCTGTTGCCTAGTCAATTTACCCCTACCTATTATGTACATACAGTTGAAGTCGGAAGTTTACATACACCTTAGCCAAATACATTTAAACTCAGTTTTTCACAATTCCTGACATTTAGTCCTAGTAAAAATTCCCTGTTTTAGGTCAGTTAGGATCACCACTTTATTTTAAGAATGTGAAATATCAGAATAATAGATCACCACTTTTATTTCTTTCATCACATTCCAAGTGGGTCAGAAGTTTACATACACTCAGTTAGTATTTGGTAGCATTGCCCCTAAATTGTTTAACTTGGGTCAAACGTTTCGGGTAGCCTTCCACAAGCTTCCCACAATAAGTTGGGTGAATTTTGGCCCATTCCTCCTGACATAGCTGGTGTAACTGAGTCAGGTTTGTAGGTCTCCTTGCTCGCACATGCTTTTTCAGTTCTGCCC